CTTGACATCTCTCCCCGCAGCTCGCATGTGTACACACACGCTTATTACGGACGGACGCGCAGCCAGAAGCGAGGAGCAGCCGCCGATGCTTTGTTAGGATCGTTTCGATTTTCCCCGAAGACGAATACGAGAATTTTCTTATGATTCGGCGTTAATAGCTCTGCGCGTACTACGTGAAATGTTTCTCACACAGTCCACGATATCCTCGAAAACGTGTCATAAATAATAATTTTTCCGTGAACTCGATACGATTGCAAAAGTCAATTATCATCGAGCCCGAGCGACGGTCAAATCCATTATTTATTCGCTCATTAAAGTTGCGCGCGCGCAAGCCCGGACCTAATTACCGTTGTATCGCCTGCGCGACCTGCAGATCGATCCGCAAGGGCGCTCATTTTTCGTCACTTTCGAAAGTCATTAGCAAAAATATGGTATAATCCGCGATTGCGACACTCGCGGCCCTCGACGTACTTTTCTGCAGGTGTGCTCGCGGCAGAAAACTTACCGCTTAACGTTATCGTTTTTCGGTACAATAAGCTATCGTATCCACTAAGGGGGCGCACAAAAGGATTGATTGCTTTTCTGCGCTTCTGAAAAATAATCTCCATATATAATAACGATTTCCATTTGGGGAGCCGCCCGTATCTACCGAGAGAGGCAAACATAAAAAATGTGTTCATTTCTGCTGTAACCTCGTAATTACGGCATGAGAACCCGAGCAAATTTGTCAACGCGCAATCCTCGCGCAGAATCGCATGCTCGGCCGCTCTCGTCTCTACACGATAAAGACGATAAACCTCTTGACGTCTGCCGAGGAAAAAAAACAAGAAACGTTTGTTTCTCATGGCTTATCGAAAAATGGTTGGCACACGTTATTATTATCTCATACACAGCTCGCGGGGAACAGGTACATGTACGTGGCGCGGCGCATTCATAAAATAATACGCATAAATATAAATCATATTTGAAAGGGAGGAGGTGTGACCGCGCGACGCCCGGCAGATGTGACATTTTGATAACGTCCGAAAAGTCGTCGTCCTTTTTTTCTCTCTCTCTCTTCTGGATTGGGCTTTTAAAAAAAAACCTTGCAAGCGCGGTGTATTTAAAAAGACAACTCGATGATGACGACCTGTTTCGGCCTCACTCGAGAGGTTAAGGAGTGAGAGAAAAAAAAGCCGACAGTCGCCGATGTAATTACCCGAAACGAGTAAGTTTCTCGTTTTCGGGCGACATCATTGGATTTTGAGCGTTACATTAAAAATTTACGATTGTCTTATGTAAATCGCGCCCGAGAAGCTGCATTCAATTGCGTTAATGGAAAATTCATTGCTCGCTGGGCGCGAGAATATTTTTTTCATTGTCCGAGACTACACCTATCGTCGGCCGACGTCTTTATTATTGAGATTTCAAATTATTATCGAATCTGCGCTTTATCATTGAGAATTACTTTCACTTTGTTGTATAGTTATCATTCATTTATTATAAAGGCGTACACAATAAGCTCCGAGACTTTTACTCTTAACCTTTGAATCATCAGATAAGCATATACACTTGAGCTCAATATTTCCATACAGACAATTCACGTTACCAAAAAAAAAAAAAAAATGAACCAAGTACCCGATCGCTACGTTTGTAAATATCCACCTGACCCTTTCTCTCGACTTCCTTTTACCTCACGCGATTGTCCGACTGCAATATTTTTTTAAGAAAGGTGAACGCTACATGATTCGCTTGCACATGCAAATAAAAACATTTTTACAATGAAAAAAAATGTAAATCAAGCACGTGCGAATAATGATCAATGCAGAAAAGCGAAATATGGGAACTTTACTGGTTGGACATCGATTTTTGGCACCTTGTTTGCCGAGCAGAAGCCAGCTTTTTATGCACGTCGGTCAAATCAATATCATTAAATATCCCATATATGAGTATGGACGCATGAAAAATTCGTCTGTTTTTTCTGAGCTATTATATCGCGCTGCGCAGAGCGACAGAAAATATGTATACTTTCGCCGCGTGGAATGGCACGCGCAAAAAAAGCTCATTCAAGTGTCAGGACCTCCGTGTATACTTTAATTTTATTTAATTGGCTTGAAAATGCTTCCTTGCAATATTAATGTACCCTTCATTTTTCAATAGATATCTAGGCCATAAAAATCCTTTTGCACAACAGCTTCATTTGCCAAAGTCCATCGGATGCATTAAAGGAAAAAATGCTCCGTAAGGAGAGCACGCGAATGGCATAAAGTTTTATGCAGCGTCTCGTCATCGTACATAGACGGATGTGGTGCATGCGCGCAGCCATGTGTACACATACACACACACACACAAACACACATATAATATGTCGTATAGCCAAAATGATGTGCGCGGGAGCGAAACGAAACTTCAAGGCTCTTTTTAGTCTGCGGTCCTTGCTTCTTTTTTGTTAATTAGGAGCCCTACACATATATACCCATGCACACGCATACGTGTAAGCAGAAACGATCTCTCTCTTTCTCTCTCTCTCTCTCTCTCTCTCTCTCTCTCGTCGACATGTTCCGTCGTGCTTTTTTTACCTTCTCGTTAATTACCCACACAGGCCTTGCGTACTGTACATAAACATTCTTCGAGTGCTTGAGAATGGCACGATGAAAAAAAATCGTCAGTGTGAAATTGCGGGAGTTCGTTAAATTCATTATTATTGAAGTGGAACCTCTCTCTAAAAAAGTACTGCTGAAAAATGGAATATTACTAGTGTAAAAAATACCGCTTCACTGGCTGGAAAAATTAATTGTCGTTCTCGAATTGATGATGCAAAATACGACCATCTTTAACTACATATAGTTCTGTGTTGAATCAATATGCAGTTATTAAAAATACAAGTTTGATTTTCGATAAAAGTTGTTTTTAAACTAAACGTATTGGCAATTTTAACATTCAACCTCTACTTTGCATAAGAGTAAAAAGTAAATAGTGTCTCACACTGTAACTTTTTATCAGAATATTAATAAATATCAAGAATAATTAATGGAATTCAAAATTTTAGAATTGAAAAACATGGATAATAAGTTGAATTTGTCCAAATAATATTTTTTCATAGAGCCTTTGGTATCAAATCTCTGAAATTAAAATTAAAGTTTCAATTTAAGTTTAAAAATATTTGTATTAAATATTAAATTGTCGATAATTTAACATTATTCGGGTTTAATATTATTTTGGAAAATTTGACGATTTCATAAGCGTTTCAGGTCTAAAGTATTTAAAAGATGCTCGTAAACTCAGGCCTTTTTTACTAAGATTATTAATAGGACTTCAAGCCAAAAATAGGTCCAAATATACCAACAAAAAATAAAGAATTTTTATTATGAAACTTGAGGGTGGATTCTAAAAAAAAGGGCAAATAAAGGAGAAGGATGATTTGTTAAATTATGTTCATGGCAAAAAAGAGGTATAGGCTGACTGGGCTTTTATAGCATAAATACAATTGCAGCGAGTTTAGGGATTTCAACTTTTCCTTCCCATTAGCCCTAAGCAACTACGATGTGTTGCTATTTTAAAATGCGAACTCGATTAATTGTAACACTCATTATACCTATATTTTTAGTAAAATCCGTATTCCAGCCGAATAAACAATGCCCGGGTGATCGGATCATTGACTTATACTACTGATTTTCCTCCTCTATTTCGATCTATTTTTTCGACCTATTTCGACAATTCGACGCGCAAAAAAGCGAAGGTGTCTCGTGGCACACTATTGCTTTTTTCTTTTTGATCATACCGTATAAAGGGAAATAAAACAAAATATGACGAGTGAATACGTGGCACGACTTACGAGAGAAACAGCTCATATAAATCCAGGCGCGCGCGTGTATACATACACATCCTTTGGCCTACTACTCCAGTGAGGGAGTGCAGCTGGACTATACCTGCGTATGTAACCGTACAGCAAGAATACAGAATAAGAGAAACAGAACGAAGGAAGAAACAGCAGAGACGCGACGTATTTATACGCGCTCTTCCTTGCTTTTCCTTTTCTGCCTTTATCGTGTGCACTTGCTCACGAAGCTATCGTTTCCTCCAGCTTTGATGCCGTTTAGATAGTTTTTTCAGCTCAGTCGACCGCCGATTAGTTTCTCTCATTGGACATTTCTCAATCATAGGTTTTGAAAGATGATGCAACGAAAAAAGCGATAGAATTCCCATTAGTGTTTGGCTCGGTTGCACGTTCGTCGAAACGATAATTTTCTGAAAAATGCCATCGACTGACTCATAGCAATCGTAAATCAATTGGCAGCAAGCTCGCAAATTATTGGAACGTGTGTATGAGATTCAAAATCGTTGCTCCATTTGGGCTTGTAGTCTAAATAACTGAAATATGTATCAAACTTTCTCAAGACTGCGAATAATATATGCACAATATAGCGAGTGGCGCGTTAGCAAGTCTCCCATGAAAAAAAGAATTTAAATATATGTATACGTGAGTGCACGTTGAGCTATACACACTAACATCTCGAATGACATATTTAATTTTTTGTGACGCGAGCTCTTTTTACTACTCTCCGCGGCGTGAGCGTGTAAAAACACGTATAGAGTTCAAGGGTAAAGCAGGAAACGGAACATAACGATAAAACGAGCTATTAACCGGAATTCGCATTAAGCAGCGCGGTAAACACTTTTTTAATAGACTTCTCTTCTCAAAGCTCTCTGTAACAAGTGTTTAGGATATTTTTCAAAGTTATATGTATAGGTATCTGCAACTCGAGAGCCTCGCGTTTCTCCTACCTGGTGATCCAACCATTGACATGCTATGAATTGAAAATTACTCTGTGTGATATCTTTTTTGAATGTAAATGTACTCGAGGTTGCATGTGTTTATAAATATCCAAGATACTATTCATTTTAAGTGCCAAACGTATATATGAGCACTGCATACTGAGTAGATGAGTAGCAAAAAGTAAACTGATCACAATTTTCCATTTATTGTCAATTAATCGTTCGTTCGTTTTGCTTTGTTTCAGACGAATGTTCTGCAAAATAGCTGGCCATGGTATTGAGTAGAGAGGCCGTCTTGAGATTTGCCCATCACGATCACTCTTTGTTCAAACGCAAATTGTCGCTTGATTTTTTTGATTCTCAAAAGCTCCGATCACAAAGTAAGTACACGGGATACGAAAGCGAGAATAAATCTCGACCCTGAAAATAAAGATTAATTACAATTAATTATTAACGTACAATATACTATAGGTACTTTTAGAATTAGGCAAACTTTCTACGAATTTTTTATTGGAAGTATTCGTAGAAGTTTAGAATCTCGCATGAATATGCTACCAAAATCGAATGTCCATAAGTTTTGCGAAGCTTACACGTGCTGCGTAAGCGCGTCAGAATTTCAATTGAAAAAGGCTAAGGGGATCTTTTTTCAAATAAAAAGGACTCGTATCGAACATACGTACTTTGGTGTGACTTAAGATAAGCAAATGAGAGAGAGAAAAAAGAGCGTAATGTCTCGAATAAACGATAATAATGATACAAATGATGACGAGGATGAGCTATGCATATAGCGCATTTGAATTGAATAAATGTTAAATAATATAGGAGAATGGGATAAGTAAGAAAAATAAATTATACAACAAGCAAATGATTAATTTAATATGCATAATTGATATTAGGTATGTATATGTAGTAGGTATAAGAGCATCACTTTGTTTTGTTTTTCAATATAAATCTATATGAGCGCGCGTATCTGCAAAAAAAAAATAAACAATTCACACAAAAAATAATAAGAAGAAAATGAAAATACAACACCGTGATAATCTCAACGTATTATGCCATAGCTGCCTATATATACAACGTAATTACAGATCCGAACGACATACGATTTGCGGGGGAGAAAGGGCAGGTTTACATTGAAAAACGCATCATATTATATGAATACGCTGACTCAAACGAGTTATTGATGGTCTTTCCTTCTTTTGTTGATGAATACAATGTACGATATACGTAAAACATGTGCACTTTATATTTATACTTGTATGGATATGACGTACTAATAGAAAGTAATTAAAGAGGATTTTTCAATGTAAATTGCCGTCTCCGCGCAATAGCTCACTCCACGTATTAAGCGATGCGTCGTTGCGTGTTTTTTTAACAATAGCAAAAAAAAGCAAATGTTTTTTATTTTTAAGCAGAACTTACGGAACGTCAATGATCTGTTTGCAATCAAAGTATACGAATAAATGCATTATTTCCTATTGACAATCCTCGTGCGATATACCAATGTACACGTGTAGCTAAAATTTTTGCAGACATTGTCCGAATAATTGAACATGTTTTTTCCTTTACGTCATAATAATTATTATCATATTTATCTATGAAAGGAAAAATTCAAATTATGGTATTAGCGTAAAGAAAATAAAAATTATTAATCTCATGTATGGCAAAAATATAAAAAAAAAAATAAGCAAAACAAGCAAGTATTCAAGTAAAAAAAAATCACGATATTAACGAGTAAGAAAATTTCGTCTCTAGTAAACGTAATAATTATGCGATATTTATGGTGTAATATTTAGGTGTCTAAAAAACTTCTTCTCGACAAGTATAAACAAAAAATGAAAAAATGAAAAGGAAAAAAGCGTCTGGAATCAAAAAAGGAAACTAAAACTCGTACATAACGATGATTTTTTTCAAGTCCATCGAATACTCAATACCGTATAATTTTCATCATTAAAAAAGACTGATACAATAGAGCAAACTTTTTTATGATTTAACGTCGATTAAAACATGTCAATAAATGGATAAACTATAATTAAACCGATATTAATTGGTAAATAATGAACGTCGTTCAAAGCAAACAAATAATACAAATAAAATAGGCATTATTACTATGAATCCAGTGAGTTTTCCGGGCGCCCAAGGTATGTATATAAAAAATAACTAATATAACAGTATTGTGTAAGGTATGAGAGAAAGAAGAATGCTAAGAAAATAAATATAATAAAAATATATCATCCTAAGGATTTCCTCCTTTCCATGTAAACAAAAAACGAAGTGCGAGTTTCCGAGTTGACGTTTTTACACACGCACACATCTCTATATATTCAAAATTAAAAAATAAAACTTTGAATTTTATTGTACTCGATTAAATGATAAATAACAGCCGTCGTGATGAGAGCAGAATAAAATATCAAAACCCAAGTCCTTTATCATTCGTCGAGTGACCGTATCGATATGTATACATGTAACAGCCAGATCGAGAGTAAAGAGCGTGCGCCACTTTTGCCTTCCTATATTAAATAATAATTAATGAATAATGATAATATAATTGTTGACAGAATTCTTTGTACAGAATATAAACTCAAGATTATTGTACTATAATTATAGAGTATTTACGGAGAATTTTCTTGTTTCATATTGCCGAGCTACATACAATAAGTTAATTTTTTCCTCGGATAACTTTTCATTCTTGACGAATGACATATCAATACGATGTTAGAGCGTGCAGAGAGTTTTATATATACACAAACTATAATTTTATCCTTTTATAAATAAATAAACAGGAATTTTAAAGGTCGAAAATATGAAATAATGAAAATTCAAAGACTATAATACACTGCAGACAATTTTTTTATTGAACATTATATTAACAGTAATAATTACATGGTTTATGGTCACTCGATGAATAAGGATCGATATTAAATATTATCTGTTAAAGTATTCATTACTAGAACGAAATAGTGTTTTGAAACTCGCGCAAGGAACTTTGTTTTAAATTTAAATAATTATTATAATTGTATTAGTGTACAATTACAAACAAAATGACACGCCCACGAGCAGACATGTTGAATTACAACATTGTAATACGTATACGTTTTCTTAAATAGCTGAATTACGGTACACGATAATTCCGAACGTAAATGATAAATAATAAATACGTAAAATTTCAAAATGGTGTAAATCCAAAGGGAAAAATTGAAACACAAGTTGAAAGTTTCCCTCAGCCCCTAACCTTTGCTCCTCATGTACTTTTGTCACAATTTTTAACAGATGAAATAGAAACAAAGAAATATTAATATGTTGCTATGAACAATATTTAGTATAACAATTATATTATTACACACTGCGCAATAGTTTTGTGTGTTGAGCACAAAAACAAACAATAAACAAAACCGTTCACTTGATACAAAAAATGAAAATAAAATGAGCAGGCAGTTGAAAAATGCAGAGGTATACATAGAAAAAAGATAATTAGAGCGCATCTGTAATTGAAAATGTTTTCTATTTTTACACTATAATAGATGAAAATGAAGAAAGAGAAAAAATGAATTTAAGCAAAGTTATGAGCGTATTATTCACTGAAGTTGTGAAAAAAAAAACAAAAAAAATTACACAATTACGGGCAGAAATGGAAAAGATGAATGATCAATCGAGGTAGTTTTTGTTATCAAATATAAAACGAAACTTTTTTCCCGATTTTCTCTTGGCCGTTTTCTCAAAAAATAATGTGTTATTGAAAGAGCAAAAACTATCTCGAGCGCACTATGAGAAAGTATTTAATAGAAATGGTAAAAATGAAAACAAAATGGAGCAGTGTAATTAAGGTACAATAAATAATAAACATGTCCTTCCAATAATAAGCGCAACCTCAAAATAATAAGCAAATGTTACACAGATAAATCAGCGATTTTATTTTTGCAACAAAACTAAAAATGAAGACAATTCTACAGTTACAATTGAAACAAAGCCATATTATTCCAACCATTGTATAACTTCCACAGACCTTTCACGTAATTGGTGATTGAGAAAGGATATAAGAAAGAAGAAAAAAGAATGATAAGAGTCGATGATGAAAAACAGTAACAACACAAGTATATAACATCGAACAAAAAAATTACTAACAAGTATATGATCTATTTATTATCACCATCGAGTCCGGAAATCTTCGTGTGAATTTTACAATTTTAAATATTTTCTGTATTATGATTGTCATGTACTTGCATTTAATATTAGTACCTTCAAAATTCATTTTAATCAAGTCCTTGAAAAATCACTTTGATAAATATCATATGCTTCCGGATTCTTTCATGAATAATTCTTAGGAAAATAAAAATTATCGTTTAGGAATGAATATTAACAAAAAAACGTATGTATGCAAATGCGCAATGTATCGATGGAGTGTGAAAAATTAAGAAAAATTTCGCTGTAATGTATTCGATATCAATATTTAAGAAAAAAATTCGTGTTTTTTCAATTTTAGGATATATAATGGATAATACAAAAAAAAGAGAGAAAAACACGTCTCGTAAAACACGTCCCGTATATTTATAATCAATTATTGTATATTTGACGCGATATTCAATTTTGTGAAAGATCGAACGTTGTTTGAAAATTGTATATTTCGGTGTTAATGAATGGAATTTCCAATAAAAAATTGATAATTTACCCCCAACGCCATTTTGCGACGTTTGGATGGAAAAAATGTGTATTCCAAGTTTTAGCACGTTGGGGATTGAAAAAATTAACGTGCAAAAAAGTGCATATCAAAAAAGTGAGTTTTTGGAAAAAACGCGTTATGGTTATAACATAATCGGAATATCGTGTCAAAGTTGCGGTTTATGAATAAAAAAAACTCTTTCGGCACTTGTAAGAGCGAAAGAATTTTGTAAGCGTATATTGTTTACGATGAGTGGATAAAACTAAGTCTCGAACTAGATAAGAAATGATAAAAAATTTTTAAAATAATCTTTAATATTCTGCACGACCTTTTTATAACGTATATGAATGATTATCTCTTTGTCAAAATTATAGCAAAAAAATTAAACGAATAAAAAAGATCTATATACGATTGTGCGGCGCAATATGAGAAGATGCAATAAACAAATAAAACTTGGGAGAGAGATAGAGAAAAAAATTTTTTGACAAATGAAATTTGTCAAGTCTGTCCAGATATAAAAAATTATGCTTTTTTTGCGGCTCTGTACACATGAGATGTTTCGGCAAAAAAATTGTACAGTCAAATTTTCCGTACTGTTAAACTTTCTAAAAGATAATATAAAAAATTTTATGAAAAACAAAATTTTCTCCTTTTAGACCTTCTTTACGTGAATAATATTCACGATAAAAATTTATAACTTTCGAATAACTTTCGAATATATACATATTATATATATTATAAGTCTCACAGTGCGAGAGACATTCGACTGTATGTAAAAAATTAACAAAAAATTATAATAGTAACGAATCAAAATTATCTCGTAGGTATTTATGTACTTCTCGATTGTAAATAAAGAATAAAACATGGAAACGATGTTGTAAATCTAGCTGCGACTACAAAAAATGTATGATGGATCGTCCATTGACCATATATATAAAAAAAAGTAAAATCGTCATTTTCCACACTAATTCTTATACGAAAATCAATGAAAAAAGAGGCTGAGAATTAAAAAAATAAAAAGAGTCTATTGCTTTACGCTTTTCTAAACGATCAAATAATTCTGACTGTAAATACAATAATAATTTCAAAAAAATTTAATGCCAGTAATCATGTCGGATGCGAAATTAAAAAATATATATTTCCTCATTTACACGTCCATTACAATAATGATTAAAATCAATCAATTTTCGAACAAGCGCATCCGACGAGAAAAATTTTTCAAATAAACAAGTGCAGAAAAGACAATGCATTGACTCGAATCGAAATGTTCTAGCGTGAAAAGCACAATATGATCTTCACCGAACTTAAACGATATACGACTTCATCAGAATGATTCAGTTAAGTGACGAAAATGCATTTTGCATGTACTACGATGTTTTCTTTCATTGTAACTTTGAAATAAAAGTCTTCAAATATACTCTAAGCACTTGATTGTACATAAGTATGTGATAAATATGCATATTATATATATGTAAATATAAAATGATTAATCTTTTTATCTTTTAATTATCAAATACTTGTAATTATGTTAAATCAAAACAATAAAAAAATCTCATGAATAACAAATGCGATGAAAATTATTTTCCTTGCGCATCATATTTTAACTCAATTTTCATGTTTAAAAATTAAATCAATTTTAGTGAAATATTCTTTTTACAAATTTTACAAACATTTATTTACACTAACGTTTATTTACACTATACATTATACTTTTTATTATTCGAATCTTTTTACGCCTGCGGTACAGTCAAACAGTTCTGGATTAACAAAATGGCCTTGTTTGTCAAGAATGAAATGAAATCTTACACCTTTAAGTTTTAAAGGTACATAGCCTTTCTTGTCACTTCTAGCTGCCACACTGCTCACCTTTAAAAAAATATATTTTTGATTATTATAATTCAACAGCATGAGGATCAATTATTGATGAAAATTTCAATTTAACTTACTTCTTCCAATTTGCGAGCATATTTTTTTTCCATTTTGATTGGATGATAAGCTACAAGGGTAATGCTTTTACCACCTTTATGCAGTATTAAATACTTAACTGATCTAACAGTTATGAACCAAACAGTTATTAATATAAGAGGTCCTACAAATAAAACAATAACAATTTTAGATATTTATTACAAATGCACATCATTTTATAAAATCCTTACCACATATCACTCCGATTGAAATTCCTGCAAGGGGTAATACATGAGCTTTCAATCTTGTCCATAAATCTTTTTCTGGATTAAAAAGATCTTTACATAATACTAAATAAATAGTATCAGCCATTGTTAAACATCCAATACATGTAAGAATACCAAATGCAGCTGCAGCTTTAAACATGATAGGTTTCTCAAATCGATATAACATAACATTATTTAAAACCTTAGTATTGACTTTTAGAGGATTAGCTAGTGGAACATTTGAATAACTTCTAAAAAATTGAATAATGTTCCATCGCTTAGAGCTGACACTTTGATTATGGTTCTTTTTTACAGCATTGACATTGACATTTTCACTCCTGCATCAATATAAATTGAAAATTATTAATCTACATTCAGTAAAAAAATGATAAGTAAAAGGATAAACATTTCTTGAAATTATATAAATCAATAAGTAGACGAATAAGTGTAAAGAAATGCGTACAGATTGATACACGCTGAATTATTCAGTTTCATAACCTCATACCTGAAAAGTAGACTCGAGTTGAAAAATGATCGCCAATCGCCAAATTTTCGAACTTTTTGCATTGGTTTTTCGATTTGAGAATACGAGCCTCTTTGAGAAAGGCATTGTTGAGCAATTTTGGGATAGACCGAGCCACCGACGACCGTCCCTGTAGCGGCATGCAGCCTCGAAGCGGCTAGTACTGCACTGAACATAATTCTTGATTTGTCAAAACAAAAAAAATTTGAATCATTTCAATATTGCTATTTCGAGTGAGTAAATCGAGTATAAGATAATCATTTCATAGTGTTTTTGTTTACTTAAAAAACAATTTGTGATGAAAAATGGCAGGTACTCACTATTTTGGCATTTGCTATTCTGCTATTTAAAAGCGTCGTCTGCAGTGTAAACGAGTCAGTGGCATCTGGCGCGAAAATGCGCAAGTTTTGCAAAAGACCGACTTGCGCGCTCTGCATAGTTCGACGCATTTACCTAACCGACGTGTCATAATCATATCGACGGAAGTGCAACGATCGATACGAGAAATTAGGATCGGCTCGGCCGATTTTCTTTACCAACGCAAAGCAATTCAGCGATCTACATTGGTCTGAGACTCGTACGTGTGTCGCCACTTACTCGATGCGGAAGTTGTAAAATCGGTTCGGTATACTAGGAACGACGAGTCGAATCTTGGAGTGATACACACGGCCAGAATACAATTTATGATGAAACCCAAGTCAGATCGGACACCTGCGCGCAACAAAATAAAGCTCGCGGGCCTGTAACGATGATACTGTATACGGAGTATACACAATTACGGCCGCGCGCATTATACTGAAAAATGAAACATCCGGTACATACATCTACACCTATGCATATATATGCAGTCACACATCATACAAGTCGCCCGTAGAGTCCCCCGAAGTGCAGCGAGCTCGTGCCGCAGCACAATATACTTACAAGCCTATCGCAGCCGCGCATGTGTGAGTAAGTACTTTATTTGTCGCGTAGAAATTCCTTCGGCGTGTCGTTTTACGCTCCTTCTTTTTTTTTCTCTCTCTTCTCTCGTTTTATTTCAAACATTTTTCAGCCGTGATTTCCGAGACAATGGTACGCTCGATTTGCGATAAGGCTCATGAGCGCGCGCGGCATTATTATTTTCGGTCTCGAGCCGATACGTACACTCGTCGGCTGTGCAGAGCTGAAATAACGCCGAGAAGACAAAAGCCGATGATTCATCATTAGGATTTTAGAAAAATTCTCGGATTAAAAAATGTTTTTCAATGAAAATACTGCGCCTGAAATTAATGAGAAAATTATTGTGATGTTCAAAGCTTGGTCGTTTCCGAGTTGATTATACACACGAGCGCAACGCTATGACGCATAAATGAAATATCAGAAGGAGAAAATAGTCTTTGCGCTACGAGTTGGAGAATTTCTGACGTTTAAACAAAGTTTCTATACTCTCGAAAGGCGAAAGAAAAAAGTAAAGAAGTTTTTAAAGCGACCAGCAGATAAATATTTGTGTAAATATACTGCGTTTATCGACGAAACAAAAAAAACGTGCAGTAACAACAGGCTAATAATAGCAAGAAACAAAGTGTCGGCAATCATTGCACATGAGAATAGCCAGCGGATCCTCCAAACGCGCGCAATTAATTTTATCTTATCTCCGGCATAGATGTAATAACTATGAGATGTAAGATCACTTGAAAAAAGGAGCATGATTATATGATTCCTGCGGTGCTAACGTTAAGAGTCGAGGAAGCCAAAAAAGCTTATTCGTCGTTCGGTTGAAAAAAAATTCGAGTACTCTCTAAGTAATGGCTCCGGACGGAGCAGGACAAAAAAGTAACGATCAAAATTGGGTATCCAGACGAAAATACGTACAGACGAGGCAAATCGCGAGCGAAGGCAGTTAGAGCGCGGGCAGGTGCACTCCAGCGTCTCGGAGCCAACGCAAGGTCGCTCGCGATTCACCTCGCGATGCCACGAGAGGAGAGCGCCGAGGCACGAACAGAGCTAGTCCGCGCAACGTGACGATCGCGAGGAAGAGACACAAAAGCCCCCGAACCGTCGATCGAAAGGTAAACAGCTCGTATTGCCTACCGAGACTCGCGTGGCTCTGCGGCAGTGATTACAACGAGGTAGGTATAGTACTGGCACGAGCGTGAAAAAGAAGCGTGGCTAAGCAGTCGAGCCGCCACACATGCCATTGCCCATCGTTGCTCGCGAGCCGTCAACACGTAAAAACGTTTTAGCTCTGTGTGTTCCGGCGAGACGAATATGTATATTATAAGTAGCTCTCGTGTGTACGCGGATAAAACGCGGTCAAGGCGCGAATCAAATCGATATGAGACCCCGCTGCCACCGCCGTCGCCGCCTCGCGATCGCTTCTCGCCTGCACGAATTACCAACGTCAAACCACGCGAGCTTCTTTTTTTCTCTCTCTCTCTCTCTCTCTCCGTCTTCGTCATTTCTTTTTATTTCTCAAAAAAGCCTTTGAATGTTTTTTGCGAAACGTCTGGGCAAATATCGAGAGTTCGCGGCTACGCTCCTTCGCACGTTCTCCCGCCTCGCACGGCTATACTCGAATCGGCGGCGGCGGCGGCCCCCGAGCTTCGATTTTTCTCTTTCTTTTAGCGACGCGAGCGAATAAATGTACGCACGTAGGCTGGCGAACTTTTCGAGTCAAACATTGACTTTTATATGTCATCGGCTTTGCTCCTGATGCAGTGATTGAATGCAAAAGAAAAAGAGATGGGTGGAATACGCAGGTCGCATTTCTCGGCGATAAGCGTATGGCAGATGTTACAGGCCGCGCACGTGCTGCTGTAAACACTCGGCATACCTACTGCGACGTCGAGAGAGCATTGGATTCAAAATATTTTGAAACACATGAGACTATCAAAGTATGAACGGACGGATGTTACTATTCGGATTTAAATGTCACGCTGCTTATACGACGAGGCTCGTAGCGCGAATAACTGCCGCGCGTCGCATAATAACGTACACTTCAAAATGTATCACATTCTCTGCTTGGCGAAAATCAATCCTCCTCTTCCCATCGCAATATTATCTTTTTTTCTTTGTTATTTTTTTTCTTTCGTAAATGTGAGTGCAGACTGGCTATATAGAAACACGCGTGGCGCACATGTTCCTCGGCAAAATGTGCCTCCGATCGCTTCGTACAATCGCGCGTACCATATAATATTTATTTATGGTATATACTGACCGTTCCTTTGTGCCTTTAGCGCTAGACAGTAATTTTTTACGTTAAAATATAAAGAAGCTTCTCTCTGAACAACGAGGGAGAACACAAATGCGCTGCAGGCTTTAATTTCTTTGTGCTTTTAAGCCTTCGACGCGTACTTATGGAGATTCAATTATCTCTACGAAGAAATAATCAGAACGCTTGAAAACTGATTTGGCTCATGACTTTTGTTAATTAGCGGATGTCATAGATATGAAAAATAAAATTAACACGTGCCGAAAGGTCACGGCGTAATGTTGGAGCCGCGAGCCGAGTGCGGCACTCATCATAGCGACGATCGGAGCACGTGTTTTGTCGTCGCATGGCGCGGCGGCTTACGTTGACAGTCCGCACGCAGCTCGCGGACACAAAGCCGATCGTAGCCTCGAGGCATTGTCGCGTAAAATAAGAAGGAAAGAAAAAAAAATTATCCATTAGAAAGGACGACACTTCCTCTCGCGTCGTCGCCGTCGTGGTCGTCTCCTCGTTTTGCAAAAAAAGCCTTGGTGCGGTTCGGCACTCGCGCATGCATACATACATAGATTGCGCACACATTTGCCATTTCGCAACGCACCGATGATATCAGCAGATGCACTAGTCTGTGCCGAGCTCTCTTCGGCATCTTGGCGTACGTATTCGCGCGCGCCAACTGGCCAGTTCGAGCGAACCAAGCTTATCGTTTCCGAGTACGGCTTATTTTCGTTCGCGCGTGTGTCGTCTTTCGTTTTTACAATTGCGTCGTCGAGATGCGAGTTTATTGTCCGCTCGCGCTGTAATTCTTTGTACGTATCGAGGCGTACTTGGCGCTCGACTGCGCCTCGGAGAAATAAAGAAAAAAATAAAGACGAAGAGAAAGAGAGTTTGGAATCGTCGAAAGCGCGTGATGTCAGAGAGAGAGAGAGAACGAAATTCATTGACACTTGGCCTGCAATTATCACCTCTGCGCCTGCTTAAGTAGCATATACGCGTGTTGCAAAGGTGTCGACGCGAAAAGGCGCACGCATAACTCGGGGGGCGCGGATCGCTCGACGGGACTCGTGCGCCCGTCCGCAGCGATAAGCTTGACCGAAACGTATCGGCAGAAAAATTTTCTCGGTAATTTGTTCGTATCTAATCGTGCAGTTGATACGTTGTGATTTTGTTTCTTATTCGCTCGACGCCAGGCGTAATTATTACATTTGCACGATAACCTAGACCTACATTATATCGTGTCTTCTGCATTATACGCTCCAGCCTTGGCACTCGAAGTTTGTCAGTTTTTGGCGCAACGTATATACGTATACCGAGTATTTGCTCGGCTCGTGTGGGACTGCAGTGCAGTGTCGAGAGTCCTCGCTCGGCACTATTTATATACTCGGGCGAAGGAAGCTCGTGCACGAGACTCTGTACAAAATTTTACACCGCGCCTACATTATCTATCGTAATATATATATGTATATACCAGGCCTGGCGTCGCAGTCAGCCAGCTCCGAGCCTTTGATAATCTTTTTATCGTCTCTCCTACTCGTGCCAATGTTCGCGTACGGAATCGTAAATGCGTGTAAATGGTATATAAGCGATATGGAATCGATTCGATTACAACGATTACGTGCGCCGCGCTCCAGCAAATCCGTAATAACGACGTGAGATAATAGTTACGTATGCGCCGCGCCGACGACGTCTGCTGACGACACGATATATGCGAGTGCACTAATAAATGTATATAATACTATATTGTATATAGCTATATATAAAATTCAGAGTCGAGAAAAGAGAATCGGAGCCGCGTAATGATGAATAATCGGCTGCCTATAGATTATAATATAGATTTATACTTATTCTAATTGCATAATCAGAGCCTTCGACTGTACTTTATACACATGAATATTTGCGAGCCAAACAACTCGATAAGGCGGAATAAGAGGCGCATAATAATATTAAAGCTCGGCGGGCCGCAGGTGCGATGATTATTCCTCGTTATACCGCTTCGATTTAGTTTGCAGGAGTTTGTGGATCTGGAACGTTCGTCTCTTGGCTTTATTTTTGACTCTTTATCAAGGGAACTCGAGCGCGCGACTCGCACAGATCTCGACAACTGCGACCGTTTTTTTTTCAACGACGTTGTCTTCTTCTGCTGCTGCTTCTTGTCTCAGATTTTTGCCTCGACGCTAGTCAAGTAAATATGTGTACATGCCGATTAGCGGCACAATGTGTGTATTGTATACTCGGCGTTGCGAAGAAGAAAAACCAAGGATGCATCGACGAGGAGGTAGTAGGCGGGGACTTTTTCAGATCGTCGACACGCGCCTTTGTCGTGTACTGACACTATACAGCGGATCGTGGTATTTTTGGAATGTGATCGGTAAAAGGCAAGACGCGCGCCAACAAAGACGTCTCGACGTACGCGCGCGTTAATAATAACGTCAAATATTACGCGTTAGGCAATCCTAGGAGCGAAATAAAAACAATCGACATGCACTGCGGTGTATATGCGTCCAAGAGGCGATCGTTGGCTATTCAGCTCGGCGAAAATTTGCATGAAAATCAATTCGTTGGCGCGCGCGACGATGAGCCAGCCGATTTATTGAGTCGACGCACGAATACATTTATATATTATACACATAGCAGGTATACGCCGGGCCGTCGCACGACGCAGTGTGGCTTCGTTTGAACGAACCACGCTATAAATGTCCCGTGACAATATCTTTTGACGAAAATAATAATAAATCGCTATCGGGCTTTTTATTTGGAGAAAAATGCTCGTTTCTCCCCCCCCCCTTTCTCTCTCTCACTGTTTCGTTGGCCGGCCACTGCCGTGACAGAGGAATCGCGTACTATACTTGTGCGCCGGAATAATAACAATCGAACAAATTCAAACGCGCACATAACATGCACGTCTAATATTATACATATATAGCTGCGGTGTGCAGTATAGACGACGAGGCAAACTACGACGACGATGCGATGGCACATTTGATTTTTTCCCTACTTTTTATCATATTGTGTGCCCGATTTTGCATACTGATGAGCTCGAAAACGAGTTTGCGCACCGTCGGGAGAAAGTAGATTAGAAACCAAATAGAATATATTTTCATGCAAATACGCAGGCAGCACCGCACACGCATATACACTACAGGTAGGTATGCACACCGTGTATGTCAATAACCTAAATAAAATAACACATTTCAAGCATCCAAGTGCAAATATTGCAAAGCAACTCGTGTCACATAGCTGGTAAAACTTGAGCGGTATGTGTGTGGGCATTTTTACTGAGCTGCCGGTGCAGCTACCTATTGTTTTGATTGACCAAGGAAATTACAAAGGAAGAATTTCATCGAGTACGAGCGCTCGATTCTCTATGAATTATAGGTATGCACTCTGCGCGAATACATGCATATAATAGAGCTGCGTATAACAAAGCACGGCGAGACGATGTCGTATGCATGCAAATGCTGACGTCGCGTGGCTGAATTTCCTAATGTCGAAGCTGCAGGCGCCTCCACCGCTGCTGCTGCGGCGGCTCGAGTAGCACTTTTTACGCTAAAAAGACCGAAAATAATTACGCAATAGCATCCGCAATGTCAATGTCTCTCAGTCCGCGACTATAACTGTATATATAAACGTATAATGACTCGTGATACGTGCAGCCAGTACAATATATAGGTGCATAGACTTTCCGAATCAATAAACACAAAATATCGCTGCATCCCCTCTCTTACTCACTGACGAGAGCCTGTTTAAGTTGCTGCTTGCATTTTTCTCTCTCTGTCTCTCGAAAAACTGGTAAAGCCCGCGACTAGAATAAACGCTACTTCGCTCTGCGGTTCTCTCGGGGTATTTTTCAAAATGATCGTCGCCTTCGAAACTCCGGACATAAGACTATGCGTACGTTTCATAGAGAGCTTCCTCGCTGCTCCTCCTGCTTTTTCGCTACAGTCAAACTCGAGTGCTCCTTTGATCTCTCTCTCTCTTTTGTACCAAATTCATCGATCTTGCATTTTATCTGGAAAATCGGCTCGATTTTCCGTTCGGGAGCGGTCATATTTGCGTCGTCGGTGCAGAGCGAGCTGGCACACTCCGCGTCAAAGTCGAAAGTTTCGAGCGGGCGCGCGGCAAAGAAAGAAAGAAAGAGGAAAAAAGCTACACGAGATGCATGTATAATACGTATAGGTGCTATAATATGCATGGACTGCAGCAGAGGCACGATGATGTATGTGCTGCGAGGTGCAAGTAGGCAGGCAGGCAGGCAGGCAGGCAGGCAGGCAGGCTCGAGCTATCGGTCGCGGCATAGGTTGCAGTTTGCAGTGCGCGCCTCGAGACTCGAGAGCTAGCGCCAAGCGAAAAGCAACGTTCCGTCTGCTGTTCTCCTTTCTCGCGCGCGCGCAAAATAGGCGCTGCTCACTGCACTGCCTAAGACAGTTGGGAGCTCGGCGGTCGGCTCACTCGCTCGACAGTCGACGCTCGCGCTGAGTGACTGAGCCGCGGCGACCGCGAAACAACCAACACAGAGACGCGAATTTCGTACACACTCACGCACGCGCTCACACCGACTCGACCATTTGCTGCTGCTCTCTAGCACAACAGTGCGAGCAGCCGTCAAGCAGTGCCAGAGGCACAGCGAGCCGTTGCTGCTTGTGTTATATATTATTGCTCCGAGTGCAGCGCACGTCGTCGCGGCCAGTATCTACACTGCAGCCGCACAAATAGGCAGCAGTGCGGTAGCTCTCCCGAAAGGTTCGCCAAGAGAGAGCGAGAAAGAGAGAGAGAGAGAGAGAGAGAGAAAGAGATACACTGACTGCACTCGCAGCACAATATCCGTCCTTATCGCGTACTGCAGTTTGACTCGAGCGAGCGAGTGTCTGTGCACGCCTGCAGTTTTATTTTGTACGAGCTGCTGCTGCTGCTCGCTGCAGCTCGCTGTGTTTCTTAGATACTCGAGAGAGACACCGAGACAGTACAGCCTACGTGCAGACACGCTGCGCTAATAACGACTCTGCTGCTGCTGCTGCTGCTGCTGACTCTCGACGATTCGTCGTTTACGTGCGTTGTACGATTTTTTGCTCGCTCACGCTTCGCCTCTGCGCCACTACGGAATATACAACTCGACGAGCAGGCCTGTTATTCGCCAATAGCGATACTCCTGGCCAATCTCATTATGTGCACTTATACTTCCGGACACTGCATCGGCCCGTGTTGAGGGTCTGCGTACCGACTGTCGAGCTAAGCATGCTGATCTGCTCTGCGGCTGCCGCTGCTGCATATAAATGCTGATACTCAATACTGATCTCTCTCTCTTTCGTGTGCGCGAGTTTCTCTGTGTGTGAGTGCGACGACTGTGAGACTTGGTGCTTTTTTGGCCAACGACGAAGATTCCCGAAGCAGTGCTTATAGCTGTCGTCGTCGTCGTTTTTACTCTCCGCCTCATCCTCCTCGTCCTCGCGTCCATCCGCTCGAGTGTTTCAACGCATGATGTCTCCTGTCTGCGTTGCCCACACACACACGGCATAGACTCGTCTTCTTCGTCCGTATGTGACAGCGCGATATGATGTATTCAACGATTGTTCATGCTCCTGGTAGGCATAAATAATAAGCAAACGTCTCGCAGCGATTCTGCTATACGAGCCAAACTGCAACGGTGTGCTTGTGTTTTTTGTATAATATATCAAGTGTGTTGTTTCACGAGAACGTGCAGTGAACCAGCAGTCGTCATCAACGAGAACGCGATGTCGACCCCTTTTTCTCAGTGTTGAAGCTCGTTGTTAAACCATGCTCCATTCTACCGTGTCCACTTGAAAATATTACCGTTTTTGCTATTTACTCATGAAGCTTGACGGAAATGAAAATTCTCCTCCGAGTGTTTTTACTCAAACCAACTTCTGCAATAGGTAAGATTAATTTTACTATTTTTTAAATATTTCTTTAAAATCTGTGAAATCTCATTTTTATTTTGCACTACTGTTGCATTTGAGTGTTCTTAAATTTTATTTCAAATGTACCCGTGCACAATAAACGTGTTACCTGATGTTTAACTTGACACTTCTGAATTGTAAATAATTAAACTTCAAAAGATTTGTAAACAACTACATTCGCGTTTACTCATTTTCCATCTATCATGGTAATACGGTTAAAACTTGAACTTACATTCAATTCATTAACCAGATTCCGTTAAATAAAGTAAAAATGATATAAAGTATGTGAATATACAGGATTAAATTGAATAACGTTCACTTATCTATGCATGTTGGCATAAATTTGATTCAATCATAACATATGTTCCTTATTCCAAACTTCAATACATCATTGAAAAATCAATATCAACTATATAATGAAGATGCAACTTTATTAAGATCTCATCAAATACTTTTTTAGTATCTACTAAAAAACATTCGATAACTTTTTTACTTTGTTTTACTATTCAATGCACAATAACAGACTTTTTTTCAAATTGCTGTATATTTTATTACTTGCATTTGTCATTCCATTGTTTTGTGACAATTTGACCTTCTACATTGTTTGCTTTGTCAAAGAAAATATGTATAGTTACCACAATATAAAATATTTCTATGATAATCTGTTATTATTTAATTCAAAAAAACTTGTGTAAATGAAAATTCTAAAAAAACTGCTCTTCAAGCTTTATATAAATAGTCATTGATCATTGATTATTTTTTTCAAAAAGCATAAAATAATATTTAATTATACTGAACCATTAGTTATTCATACTGACATATTATATATATTTTTTGGGTACACACTTTTCTTTCTTTACCCATAGATGTTCTACATACTAGATCAAAATAAATTTAAAAAACTAAATAATTATATGAAAATAATGTAAGACTAATAAATTTCAGATTAGTAAAAGCAGATGTACTCTCTTCCAGAAAGGTGATCTTAGCAGCCTTAAAAGCTAGCAATCAACCAATTGCAGTAATTAGGGGATGCCTAGTCTACATTCGCTCGTCGTACGACGAGCTTCTCCTATGGACATGGGTACTGCCGCAAGTTCTGTAACTGCAGTTAATCCACACTCCAAAACCAACAGTAGTCCTAATTCTAAAAAAATGGAAAAAAATAGCAAACTCAGTGGTATAAGACTGCCTTTATTGCGTAAGGATACCAGTACCATCAGTCTTTCTCCAGCTGAAAAAACAGCAAACAAAAATGGTGGAGAAGCTCCATTATTGAGACCAGAAAGTAGTGCTAGCCTTGAAGTTCGAGGTAATAGCTGGGTCAATTTAGGGCCTACGGCGTTAAGAAAATGTGAAACAGCAGTTGGTCTAAGCACATTGACTCTCGAAGGTCGACCAGTTAATCGCAGCAGAGTATGTTCACGCTGTTCAAGTTTATTATCACTAGCTTCTGGATCACGATACAGCTTAGCTGGGGGTAGTTTTGTTCCAGCAGCTTCATCACAACAACAAATTGGCCGTTTATTATGTAAACTTTGCTTAACAGATGTTATTTCTTCAGAGACTTTTTCTATTGAAGATTGTGGTTGCTCTTATTGCAAAGATGTAAGTAATTTTATACTAGTAAATTTAAAAACCATAAACAAAATTAATAGATTTCAACGATTTTTAGTGCATGAATGCCTATGTTGAGTTTGAAATCGAAGAAGGAGCTTATGATATTAGCTGTCCAGATGCTAAGTGTGACCAAGATGGAATGCTTTCTATGAAAGAAATTAAAACTCTTGTTTCTGAAGAGCTGCTAGAAAAACATAAAAAGTTTCGTCTGAACCGAGGTATAAAACAATTCTTACAAGATACTTTTTCCTGAAATACTTTTTTGCTGCATAATGTAAAATGAAAAATTGTTAGATACACAAATTATTACTTACCATTCTTAAATAAGACAAAAGATTTGAATATTCTTTAAAATCACACAATAGATTGAAGCAACAACTGTTATTAAGCGTCTCATTTCCATAACGTTTAGAAATACATCCTCATATCACTCATTTTAATTGTGAATCTTATATTTTCGAAATTTCATGTTTTTCCAAATTCAAAAAAATGCGAAAAAAATTTTATTACTATACTCAAAGCTTTATAATTGACTGTAGCATCCACTTAATGATTCTAGTTACATAAATTTTAAACGAATTGTTTCAACTATTGAGAAACCAAAATTCTGTCAAAAATGTAAAAATATGACTTGTTCGTTTTTTTTTCAGACGTGTCGATGGACAAAGATAGAGCTTGGTGCCCACGCGCCGGATGTGAAACGATCTGTTCGTTGAACGCTGGCGAGGCAGGAGCCGGTAGCCCGTCAGGACCGGTGCACTGTCCTAGCTGTGCCACGGACTTTTGTTACCGGTGTCGCGAGCCATGGCACACGGGTCCGTGTCCTGAAACACCGCTCGGGATACCGTTCGACAGCGACCACATCAAATGCTGCCCAATGTGCTCGGTGCCAATCGAGAAAGATGAAGGTTGCGCGCAAATGATGTGCAAGCGCTGCAAGCACGTGTTCTGTTGGTACTGCTTGGCTTCGTTGGATGTAAGTTTTACGATGACTAAGTAAGATAATACTCTCAACGATGTGATATTTTGTGCCTGCGAACACGAGATAGTGGAACAAATTTTTCTGCAGCAATATTGATTACACATATGTTGTCGTAATCTTTCGATTTTCTTTGTACATCAACAGCTTTGAAAGTTGATGCATAAAATGAACTGTATCTATAGTTTTAACAAGAAGAGATTTATTACATAGTTAACAAAACGGGCTTTGATAAAATTGAGAGAAAAATTAATTTAAATATGTAAGTGTTTTTGAAGAAAAAAGGATTTTATACCATTCATTTAGTGATAATTTATCGAGTTATAAATAACAACATTTGAATTGATTTTTTTCATTTTTACTTGTAAAATAGATAGAATCTAATAGGCATAAAATGCTTGTTAAAAATGTATAGTATCAAAAACGATTGTTTGGTCAATTATCCAATGGCATATTTAATTACTCATCAACATATTATTGTAATAATTTTTTCTTACAACTGCGACGTAAATAATCGTGCATAAAAGTGCATCATCTTTATGATACATCGAAAATCACTAATTTCACGTTTTTATATGTTTAGGATGACTTTTTACTTCGACACTACGATAAGGGACCATGCAAGAATAAACTCGGACATTCGCGAGCTTCAGTCATTTGGCATAGAACACAAGTCATCGGTATATTCGCAGGTTTTGGTTTGCTTTTACTGGTGGCATCGCCTCTTCTGCTGCTCGCTGCACCATGCATCGTTTGTTGTAAATGTCGTGTCTGCGGCTCTTCAAGACTTGATCAAGACGACGCTGCTACTGCAACGGCGACAACAACCTTGGTGTCGGGAGCACCTTCGGTAGCGTCGGCCGCGCAAACAACTAACGTTATAGCCACACCCGCACAGGAGGACGACGCGACGACATAAACACACTTTCACGCACTAAACTTTAAGAAAAAAAGAAGCCTATAATTAAGTGCAGCGCGTGCTACCTTATTTTTTATTTTTATTATAATCGTTCTTTCAATGGTGTGATACTTTCTGTATATAATCGATACAAGCACTGAGAAAAGTATGTTACAGATGATTTTTATATAAAGATAAGATTAAAGAATTAATTTGATATTATAGCATTACACATAGAAATAATCAAGCTTCCAAGACTAAGACTATAATATATTATTTTAATGGAATATTTGCTCACATATGAAACGGTTAAAGAAATAATCAAAGAATAAGTATACCTTATTATAATATTTGATTATAAAAAATATCTTCATTAATGAAACACGGTAAAAATTTATCACAATTTATTTCCTTGTGATCTTTATTAAAACGTTGTAATTTTTTCTTTAATTTAATGTGATAAAAACTTGATTTCATATACTTCCAAAATGAAAATGATGTAATTTTAAAAATCTAAGTATCTAGCTTTTCAACTAGATTCTAGTTTTTTTGAGTGTTTTAATATAATTTTCACGCAAAATTCAAATTTTTGGATGTAACATAAAATATTCGATTCCTTTTTTGAATTTACTTATGAGACTGTATAAATTATTCGCAGCTATTAATTGTTTCACTTTATTTTAGAATTACAAAAAAAATATCGAATAAAAATGTATATTTTATGAAGAAATGATACTTTTCTCAGTGCACGGTAAAAAGAAATAAGTGTTAGGGGGAGTGTCATTTAATATGACAAAGTTTAATTCGATCCGCGAGATATTTTACTTCTCGCTTTAAAAAAGTCAACAAAATCATGTGAATCCTCGCTAGTTTTTAAGACGTTGAATCAAACGAGAAGAGCAACAAAGGGAAGAAAAGTCATTCTTAATGTAATATGTATTATAGATACTACTTATTGACTTCCTTTTTTTGTTAATGAAATTAGAAATATCAGTTTCTATGCGTTACATAATCAGGATAAGCTGCTATACAAATAAATTGATTATCAAGTTACCGCAAAGTTGAACATATAAAGAAAAAGGTAAAAACAAATTATACATTCCTCATATAAGAGCCAAATTCAGTGGCTTTATCGAGCAAATTTAAAGGTTATAACTATCGATTTTCTCAAAATTAAAAACTTGAAAATGTAAGATTTGGAAATAGTAATTATTGACATAGTTTGCATAGAAAAACTTTAAAGTTTTTTCACGACTGTTATAAATTAGGCTATCATTGAAGTTGCCCAGTATAAAAAAAGTTTTACAGCGGATAAAATTTGTAAAAATATCAATTTACGATTTTACGCAAAGTGTATCTATATTTCCACAAAATTATTACCTTTATAGATGACGAATCTGCATAATGTTAAAAAAGGTATTATCTACTGATTTCTTTTGGCGCGTGTGCATGTACATATACAATTAAGTAATGGTTAACGATGTTTAGTGATATTTTTATCATAATAACTAGAAATAATTATTATTTTTGACAGACAATGTGTTATATCATAATACGAAGTTTACGTAAAATACTGTATTTTTTTAATAGTTACTCTCAGATTGACTTATTAATCGTTTGTATCAAATTGCATTTGAAAAGTGTACAGAATAATTAAGTCAAATAACAAATATTTTTTCCTCTTACTTTTTAATCTATTCAAAGTTTTCATAATGAAGCTTACTCGGTCTTAACGAATATGATCTTTCACTATGTAAATAACTATTTTAAAAAGCAGAACATTTACTTAAACCATTTTTGGTGAACGTATCTACATTATAGAAATGAAAACAAAAATCTAAGCACTTGTACTTCTTTCTTCAGAGATTTCAAGAATTATTTTTTTACTCATATTGAAGTAACTTATTTGTTATGATTGAATGGAAGAAAAATTATTCTGATAAAATGAATTCATACTGTAGAATCATGTTTTTAGAAAGTCAAAATTTTTATTAGAAATTAATATGGCACTCAGTACTAGTCATTGATAATTAGATCGTAAAGCAAAATACCATTGTATATAAGAATAATTAATCTTCTATATATTTACAGTAAGCAAAACGCAAATCAGATACTTTCCACAGACCGTATTTAATTAATTTGCAATGAAGATAAAATAGTGCCAAAGTATTCCAACATTCTTAATTTATTATAAATTCAATCATTGACAATGGAATGCCAATGAGTCATTTTTTTATAATGCCTTATTCTAATTACAACACGATGTACTTTTTCAACTCTACTTTAAAGAATGTATGATAGGACAGGAAGACTCAATTATATATGAATTGTGAAGTATCATATGAAAAAACAGTGCTCCGTCAGTAAGAATTAAAGTTCCAACTGATGTAAATATAATTAAAATCATTCATTTGCCTTAGCCTTGTATAGTGTTGTACAAGAAATTATGATAATTTCAACTATACGATTAATGATATTAATTATAAAACAACATTGATAAAATGTTAAAAGAAAATTAACACAAATAAAAAGTATGTGATTAAAATATTTTGTTCTTCCATTAAATAGCATTTATATTCTTTTCCACTGTTCCACTCCATGAAAGATGAAAAATTAATCGTCCTCGAAGATGCTCAGTATTATTAATAGTTACGATGCAAGGTTTCGTTGAAAATCGGATGCATAACACTCACTTGGATTTGGGGAAAAATTATTTTATGTTGAATAAATCATATGTTTGATGAAATTAATATTATTTGAAATCATTTAAAAAATAATACAACCATGTTTACCCTCAAATCATGCATATATTTTTATGTATAAAGTTTACATGTAATTGACAAAGCATATACGAAGCACTCCTTTAATATGAAAATTATTTCTAACTTAATAGTATCATATTATGTACATAACTGCTCGATTGTGTATACTTTAAACTTCTTTATATTATTCACAAGTATTAAATAACGCCACAAAATTAATATTCAATCATTTCATGCTTTTAACAACCAAGAAATATGCTTGTGACTAAAACGACGAAAATTTATATACTTAGTAAGGTACCAAATGATCAGTTGAATAATTACTTTACTATAATTGCTTCTTTTAAGCTTTCCTTCAATTCACTATTTTCAAAGTATTTAAAAAAATGTATACAACAAATTACGAAAATAACAGTAACGACTTATATAATGTAGGCAGTAATAGACATAAATCTTGTTCATATCATGTAATTAGAAATTAAAATTGTAATTTTACGACAATTATCAATTTATTCATTATTTCAATTTCAACTTTTACATAGATTTTAAACTGGAAGGTTAATTAAACATGAAAGTTAAAATTATTAAAACTAAACGTCCAATATTTCGATTTGAAAAACTTTTTTCTATAAAAACATTGTAAACTAACTAATCTGACCAATTTTTTAAAATTGTATGAGTATTTTACAGCAATACATATGTATATTTTGAAACAGACAGTGTTTTCATTCTTTGATCAAATACAAAGTTTATTTACAAATTATGTACCAAATGCAAATCTTCTGCATTGCGAAAAGTAAACAGTTTGTAAATCTCGAGTGTCATCAATAGATCAAAGGCAAAAATGAATTACCTTATTAGAAAGAGCTTATACATAAAAATTATTTATAATTATAAAGATTATAAAGATATATGGGCAGGTTTGCTATATTGTCCGAATCTGGAATGAAAGTCAACTGCTCTAACGGCAAAATGATAGCTATTCCCTTCGGTGAACTGCGTTAATGTGCATGCCATTGGCAGTGGTAAGGCTCTAACATCTCCGACCTTCTTCCACAAATTTGTGGAGGGAGCTGTACCAGTGACTTCTTGGTAAGCAAATAATTGATAACTAACTATGTCTTCGTACTTATCTGACAAATTCATGTTCCAAGACAATACGATTCCTAGAATAAATATTTAAAAATCCATTATTTATTTGTATCCACTTGTTGGGATACATGAAAATGTGAGAGCTGTTATTAAAAATTACCTTTAGTCACTTTAGATATTTTTAGAGTTGGAGCAGGAGGTATTAATTTCCATTTAGGGTTTTCTTTTTGTGGTGGGATTTCCGGCAATGGTGCAGGATGATGCTACGAAAAACCAAATATTAAATTTTTAAACTCAATCTATCACTTTAAATGGAAATTATTGTTTTAATATTCAACTTACTCTTATCTGGAGTGCATTTCCAGTGGACGATACTAATCTTGCTTGAGTTGAACCAGTTGGTTGTTGTTTAAAAACATTTTGCACAGCATTTTTCGTATTGGAATTAGCTGTTGGTTGAACAGTATTGTTACTAGCAAACACAAGTTGTCTGGCAGGTCCTCCATTGGTATTATTGGTATGCATGAGGTACGCCACCCTTTGAACGTTGCCCCCATTTCCACCAATTGCGTTCTGCATCAATTATAAAAATAAGTTGAAATTTTGAGGGTAATGTTTTTAATGAAAAAAAAAAAAATGTTACTTACCACAATAGTCGACGTCACATTTCCCGAACCAGCTTGAACTAATCGGACATTTCCACTGTTAGGGGTAGTTATTGCGACACTAGCTGGTACAGCTTGTATAACTCTCGGGTATCGAGAGACTGCTGTTGCAGCCGATATTGATGTCGTTTGGCCAGGTAGTGTCGCTAAAACGTGAATTTCTATAAATAACAAATTTTTAAATAATATATAAAAAAACATGAGTAAAAAATAATAAAACTCAATATAAAAGAAAAAAAATTAAAAAAAAAAACAAAGATAATGAAAGTTAAAATATTATAAATATTTACTATTATTTTTATCTTCCTCGTCGGTCAAATCGATAAGATCGCTCTTTTTTGAATTATTCTTCTGTAAAGTCATAGGGTTTTGTCGGACAATCGGACCCGTGTTCAGTAAAACTTGCTGCAACGTGAAATTCCTCTTGCCAGATTCTGTCGACGTTGGTTTCGCAGCTATTGTAACAACAGGCGTAGTTGTTGTTGCTGGATTTATAATTGTACTAGTTGTCGTCGTCGATGTTATTTCTACGGTACGGGGCGACCGGGTTTTGATGGTTTTGCGAGGGCTTAGAGTGGCCAAACCAGTAGAACTATTGAAGTTGCGTTGATTTATCACTACTTTGTTTGGAGTCTGACTAGTATTTAAGCTGGTATTAAGACTACTGTTCAGGCTAGAGTTCAGACTGGCATTGGCTGATGTTTTAAGCTACATATAATAAAACACTCTTTGATTAAAATAAAAAATTGTTATGAAGAGCATAATTGGGAAAAACTTACGTTTAAATTAACTTGTAACCCAACCGATCGGTTAATTTTAATAGGTGGCTGAAACTTGCCAGCTTGGCTTAGTCTGTCTTGGTTAATGCGTGTTAGAACCGATTCGAAATTGGTGCACATCTTCAGAAGAGTTATAGCCTTTCCTTTAAGCGATTCGTTAGCCAACTGAGCTTGCCGGACTTCGTCGCGTAGTTTTCCGATTTCTCCGCGATTAGTAAGACACTCTGTGACCTTCTGTATACATAAAGCTTCCATTTCCTACACAAAGGAAGTTTTCGAATTTTACATCTCATTTGGGGCATAAATTTTACATTAAATACCTAGACCGCGAAAAAAACCATAGTCCCATGGCACGTGTAATTGAAACCGAGACTTTTAAACATGTGCACTGGGACTGTTCTTTTAGCGGGACTAGGTATGAATATGATTTTTTGTGAATCCCCCAGCAGAAAATAACAATTTCATTTAGAATGCAGGCTAGGAAATAGCTACTTTCCGCTGGGCTGGTATGAAAAAAAGTGGAAACGATAAAATGTTCACGAACCTCTCTTGTCATTAGTTTAAACTTTTTTCGAACGTCCTCTTGAGAGATTTGTTTTACAAGCTCTCTCACCTTAAGATTAGTTGTTGAATTGTGTTTATCGACGTTTTCTATTACTTTGTCGTTACTAGCAAGTTTCTGGTCCACTGATTGCTTCGCAACCAGGGTTTTTTTGTCCGTTTTTTCGGTAGACGTTTTGATTCGCTTTTTTGGTTGTTCCAAGTTTTCATCCATGATATCGGTTTGATTGCGCTTATTTGGCGCTGGCAGCGTTGGAGCTGATGCCGGAATAAGAGCGTTCGATTGTGGTTCTTTTGTGTCGTTATCGTCTTGGCTAGAATCGTCATCTTGATTTTGAATCTCCTTGCGAATCATCTCTTCGGCATACTTTGCCGAGCGACGTTTATGACGTACTCCCTCATCTGTAAGTTTCGATTTTGCAAGGTCAAACATGGTTTAAATCTTATGGTTGAATGGGTAAAAATTTACTACCCAAATGCATGTTTAATATTCAAGTAAAAATGTATAAACTGTAAATGTAAACCGTAAATGATGAGGTTATAATTTGATGGCTTTGGTATCTAGAATAGACACTCAACTGTTTTCGAAACGACACGGGCTTCAACAAAAGAGTAGGGTTATCGAAATCTAAGTAGGGCTAATTGTCTGAACCAATACGTTTACATTTACGTTTGGTGTTATAAAGTTTGTTTAGGTCTATTCAAGTGTCTAGAAATGATACTTTTAAGTTGATATTACTTTTAATGTTTATGTAAAACGGGATATTTTTTGCATATTTTGATGTGAAACATCTATATTTTGAAATGCTTACTAAAATAAATTCTAATTATTTAATTAAAGTAGTTTAATACTTTAAAATGTATTTTATCAAGTTTAAAATAATAACTCACCAAATTCAGGACCTATTCCTGCCTCTTCAATTAAGACTGCTGTTGCTTTTTTCCTCTTTTTTCTTTTGTGTTTTTCAGATTTTTGTTTTTCATCACTTTCATTTCCTTTGTCTTCTTTAAAAGGTTCCACTGTACTGGATTTGGATGATTCATCTGTAACTTCAATGTCTTCTATAGAAGAGGACTTACTAACAAGATCTGATGGACTATCAATTTCATTTCTTAAATTATTTTCAACTTCTTGATCACTGTTCTCATCCATAGGAGATAAATTTGAAGGACTTACATTACTCTTCAGATCATTAATTTTAACATCAGTTAAATTAAAATTTTTTGAATTTTGAGTAGTTGTGAATAGTTTTGTGTTCTCTAATGTTAATTCATCAGCATCTTGTATTATTGGTCTATTATCATTACAAGTAGATGAAGTAGATTCTTTCAATTTTTTTGAGTGATCATTAAAATCTGTTTCCCTTGAGTTTGAATTCAGAATTTCTTCCTTAATATCATTTTCATCATTATGCGTAACATCATCTGTTTTATTTGATACTGAATTAAATAGACCATTTGATGGAAGTTCAACACAATTATTACCTTTTGATAGTACTCTGATAGTATTTGTATTTTTTACTAAAGAATCGTCCTGGCTGCTACTATCAACATCCATTTGATCTTCAATTTCATTGCAACTTTTTTTTTCTTCAAAACCTTGTACATGAATAGAACTTTCAGCTACATTTTTTACAGAACAATCTTTTTTTTCATTTTTATGAATTATCGTTGTGTTAATATTCTCTGCAGTATCAGTTTTTGATGAGTCACACCCTTTAATATCGTTGACAACTTGATGACTATTCTTTAAAACATCATTTTTAATTGATTTATCTTGACTATGTTTTTCTACATTTTTTTCTAAATTAGTTGCTTCAGAAGTTTTTCTTATATTTTCAGGTAAACCATTATTTTCGAGCCTACTGTTTTCATTAATTGTAGTTTTCATTATATTGGATTTTTCTAGCAATGTTGAATCACTTCTGGACTTGGAAGTATCATAATTTTTTTCTCTTGGATTGTTATTAAACCTACGATAATTATTCCTATAATTTTGTTGATTAGAATTAAATCTATTTCTCTCTGGGTATCTATAGTTATACCTGTTGTTTTGATGGTGATAGTCAGATCGGTTTCTTGATTGATTATTTCCTTTCCATCTATTATCAACATTATTGGACCACAATCTTGTTGTAGTATTCCTCATAAAAGGTGCTATACTATCACTCTCTTTCATTTTTGAGTTTTGTAAATTTTCCTCACAAGATTTATCGATATATTCTTTATTTACGGTGTTATTATTTGAATTATGAATATTTATCGAGCTATCAGGAGATGAATCTAGATTAACATCAAATCCAATATCTGAAACCATAAAAATCAAATATATTTAATAAATAATTTTCAATAGTACATGATTAATAATTAAAATTTTACAGATTATGCAAGTTTCAAATTAAAAATATTAAATAAATTAATATTAAAAATAAGATTATATTTTTGGTATAAATAATGAGATTTTATTTATTACTAGATTTCAGGTCATGGGGCATTGAAAAATTTAGATATGTCTGCATATAATTGAATTTTTAAATTTGTAAATAAAACATTCAAAAAATAAATTTTATTTCTACTTAAAAATAAAGTGATTTCATTTAATGAGTCTCTGAAAAGTGTTAGTAAATCAAATGAATTATAAATACTGAACCAACTATACTAACATTGCATGCAATAGCCATACCTTTAATCCTAGCAATAAAAAAATATGTTCCATTTGTAAGAAAACAAGAACAATTTTCAAACATTTTTTAATTCAAGTCATTCGTCTTACCATCGATGCTATTATTTGTTTCTTGTTCAATTTCTTCATCATCAGTAACTACTAAATGGATATCATCTTCATCAACTAATGATAAATTATCTTTTTTCTCAGATAAATCAGAGGTTTCAACTAAATTTGAGTTTAAAATTAGCTCAACAGAAGGCATTGCTTCAATTGCTATAGAATCCATTTCATTGGCAGATGATCTTGTGATTAATCCATTAGTTAATCTCAAATGATTTGCTTTCTGTGAAGCCAAACAAATTTGTTCATACTTCTATCGAATTAAAAGTTTGTGGGGTATATAAATATTAGTGACAATTTGTCAAATGTATCTTGAATTAAATTTTGTATACGATTTTTATTGGCCGATATGAACGATTTTTCTTATAAGAGATACATTAATTAAGTTAAATTATTTGTCAACTTTCAAACCTAACCTACAATCGTTAAAAATATCAAATTCAATTTCAAAGGAGTTGATTAAAAGGTTCAGATCACTTGAAATAAATTAATTATTTTTAAGTAAAAAAATTGAATATGAAAGACTCGCGTCAAACCTTTTTAAAAGACTTTTTCAAAACTTTTTGTAAAGTTCGTGTGGCATTAATCAACATACGATTTCACATTTAGAATGTCCACGAATGTCCCACTAACTGAATTTCTAAAATTTGTAGAGGGCTCTCGTTGCAATTAACTAGAGGTAAAGTCAACTTGAAAATTAAATTTTCAATCTAATTTTGTGGACTTACTACCGAATACTCTAAAATATTTAATAGGTATTTCGAAAAATAATCAATTGATAATTAGAAAAACGGGTTAGAAAATTAGATTTTTGGGCGGGCGCCCTTCCTTCAAATTTGGTAATTGCGGAATAAGTTTTCTTGGGAAATCTTCAAAATTGTACCACTCAGTTGTACCAATCAATAGTATTACTCACATGTACCAATGACATTTTACGGACCTTATAATATTTAATACGTGGCAACAGAATATAACCTATAATCTTTTGGGACACCTGTTTTTCCATGAAAGCGCAAACACTTTTCCGCTTAAATAAAAAAAATTATAAGAATTCACCATGTACCGGAGTTTAGATTAGATAAAGATTAAAATAATAAAATTTGAAAAAATACGTTATTTGAAAGTTATGTGATAGGTGAAAGATTTTAAACAGAAATCTTTTGGATAAACGCGGAGTATTGAAGCAGATATATTAAAAATACATATTTGATATTTTAAGAAATTTATGCATTAAAAAATTACAAAAATAAAAAAAAACTTCATAAATTAATTTTATTTATTAATAAAGAATATTATAATGGCATTAGGTGAATATGTAATAACTTTGAAAGATTCCATTTATAAAAATAGATCCGGTTACATAACCTCTCAAATTCAGTACTAGCAACGTTTAATTAAATATTGCCTTGTATGTTTTGTTGAAAGTGAGGATAATATTGTGATATGCACCTTAATCGACGAATAAATAGCTTCAGGTTTTTGCATAGATGAATTTCGGACACTGTACTTCCTTGTGCATCTAAAGTAAATGATGACGACGATCGCTGCTAGAGAGAGGGAAGAGTAAATGCTTCTAGATGTTGTTGAACGATACTTTCTTATACAACAAGAAAGTGCTACTAACTTTGCAGAGAAATATTGAGAGTCACATTGACGCGCATGCTCAGTACGACTGCTGGCCATAACATGGCAATAATTACAAGTTCTAAATGAACATGATTTCGTTCGCACTGAACTACTCGATTCAGTTTCATGATAAAAAGTATTATATTGATTTGCCTTTTCTGAGTTATAGTTCATAGAAATGAACCAGTTTGAAATGTTTATTTATATTAGCACTCTTACCCAAAAATCGTAATTTTGACGCTAGTTTTAGGGTATTGTATTATTAAATATTGTATACAATTCGTGTGTATGTATGCTCTTTCAACAAAAATCGGGACAGCACGAGCTGAAGGCTCGTGCCGTAATTCCTCGTCTGTAGAAAAAAGCATATCCATACACGTTTCATAAAATATTATTGTACTCTAGTGTTTGGGCCTCCTTAGGTTCGACGTAAAAAAAATAGAAGGTCGAAAGTTTAAATTGAAGATTATATTGACATTTTAATAAAATAATACGTCTTCAACCTATGAGTAAATACCCAAGTAGATACTGAATTTAGACATTTCTCGACGATTGCATTAACTTCATATTTGTTAATCATATACGATTTTTTAATAATTTTGAAAAATTTTTATAATCATTGTTATAATAATTCCTACCCACATGGTTAGATATTCTACTTTTTTGTTGTTGTTAAAAATTTAAATGGGTTTTGCAATCATGGATAATAATCAAAGATAAGTAAGTAACCCAAGTAACCCACGTGGTTAGATATTCTACTTTTGTGTTGTTGTTAAAAATTTAAATGGGTTTTGCAATCATGGATAATAATCAAGGATACAGTTCTCTATGACTTCATTTCACGACAGTATATATTCAAAAATATTTTAAGGAGGTTCCTAAATAGTTTGATATCCAATTTCATTTTGTACAGGCAAACAGAGCGATAGCTTATCAATTTATGAATGTGCATTCGTTTGTTAGTTAATACGGTAAAGTAAAATTCATAAAAATAAGAATTGTAAATGCGAGTGTAAAATGTCAGAGTAATAGAGGGCGCTTTTAACATACCAAATGAGCTGGCCCCACGGAAAATTTTCATGCGGCAGCCATTTTGGTGTTGAAATTACTGATGCTGATAAAGAATTTTAAGGTTTAGTTCTAAAAAAAATGTACTAACCGAAAAGTAATATTAAAAAAAAATTGTTAAAAATTGATCCTATAAAGTAGTATCAAATGCAACAAGTTAACAAGTTGATGTCCTTAACCACTCATTTCTACGACTAAAATACTGGGTATTTTGAAAAGAAATTCAACCTACCAATAGGTTATCCAGCTATTCTCACGATGCTATCACAGTTTCTTTTGAACACAACTTGTTTCTTTAAAAACTTTTTTCATAACTGTAGACGAGTACTACAAAATGCCACCTTAACAAAATATAACATAGTTTTGTTTATGTAAATTACACTTATAACTATTTATCACAAAAAACAAATAAATGTACATAAACCACGATCGTAACGCTATACTATTTTTGCACGCGTACACGCACTCCTGCGGCTATCAAAGCCCCAACAGCACTGAGAACGCCTGACCAGCTGTTCTTTGACGTTCTCCGATGCGCGCGCACACATGTCTAGATTTTACGCGCGCTCTCTCTTTCTCTCTCTCTCTCTCTCTTTTCTTCGCTCACTTCTTTCTTTCGTTTCTCTCGATCCATCTAAGCTGAATACCTCAGCATGCAACGCTCTAAGTATTACGAAGGCTGTAAGGCCCAATATCAAAATTGAATTAGTTCTGGCAAAATTCGTTTGTATGATATGACGGTCATTTTATTCGATATTTAAAAATGAGAAATTTTAATATTATAATACTTCGGATAAATAAAATCTTAAATTATTAAATATTAAAGCAAATAAAACACAGTAGGGGTCAAGTGTGTGTACAACATATTCAGTAATAATAACAATTGTGCATAAGTAGACATAAGCATCGCCCCTACTTCGCTGGATTTGCGTTTTATTCTTTATAACAGAATTATACGTTCACTAAAGTAAATAAATATTAGCTTAGGTCTATAAATTATGTGCTTTCACACATTTTCACATTTTTCATACAGATCGGAACATTTATTACAAGGAAACTTGTTCGATGTAATACTCGAGTTATTTGGGTTACTAAAGCTGGATAAGTCTCTTACAAGTATAAAAGTCCGGTAACATGTTCATACAATCATGCGAGTTGATAAACTATTTTTCGTAAGATTAAAATACTGTGAACGCTAGTTTTATCATATATAAATTTAACCATTTTTGTTCAGATCGTAATTTGTATTCACAAAATAACTGCAATTTACTCATAAAAGAAGCGAGAAAGAAAATAAGAAACTTGTAAGGTTTAAACTTCTGCGATCTTTCATAAATTCGATACTTTACCGATTAAAATTATTCATTTCGACAATTTTTTCCATTTTAAATCGATCGAATCTCGTAAACTCAATTGTTTACAAAAAAATAACAAACACTCTAAATGAAATTGAATTTTATTGTAAATACATAATTATTTGTTGTGGGCAGTTTTATTAAAAATGTTAACGACGTCAACCCAAAAAATTCGCAGCTTTAGCAGCTCAAAATAAGTCAGAATAACTTTATTAGACCTTTCAAAGAAAAAAAGATTACAGTGGTCTCACTAGTCACTATGCCCCTAGGGTAAATTTTCTTCTCTTAACGCCTTCATCGTTTTCTTATGAGGTTATGTATACAATCACATTGTTATAGTGTTTCGGTATTCCCCACAAGGAGCAGCTCCTTTATATGTTAAATTAAATTGAGAAGTGCTATTTTTCGTGAGGAGCATCGATTTAATATGTGGAACAGCTATGGAAGTCAAGCAGCTATGGAGTTTCTTAATTGTTAATTCCATACTCATTCGTGATTTCAAAAATCTTACGCTATCGACCTGTTTCGTGGGGCTTCATAAAGGTTGCACTTCAAATCAAAATACTCAACTGAAGGACCGAATAATTGTTGATTCTCAAATAAGGATCGAATTTTTGCTTAGTTTCAGAATACTGCACAGTATTTGTTCGTCTAAAAACGTAGTGCAAACATCACAATTTCTTTTCAATTTTAATTTGAAAACTCGAAAAATGTTTCTTTAATGCCTTTTAAACTTTGCAAATAATCATTAAGGCATTAATTTTTGTTTTTAAGTATTTCAAGATTATAAAAAAATTAATTGTAAATGATTTTTATTACTCAGAAAGTTGTTGACTGGTATTCCCAGCAGTTTCTCAAATAAATTTGATATTGATGTTTCTTTATGATGTGCGCGCGCACATTGAAGAGCATAATATCTATCTATACTTTAAAGCACTAGTGAGTTTTTGACTGCTTTTTAGAATGATTACGATATAAGAAATGAAAATTTTCAGTGAGATGATGTAGATGTATCAATAATTTTAATTTTTTTCTTTAATAGCTAAGTATTTTATAAAACAACGAAAGTAAAGTTGTTAATGTTAAACTAACTGAACCTAGCAGTAGAGAATTCAAAATATTAAACTATATCTTTATGTTGAAATTGAGATTGTTATGTTGAAATTTAGATTGTTATTGAATTATTTTCTCCGGTAAGGAAACATGGAAAATTTTTTTTACTAGTTAAAATGTTGTATAGAACCCTTCAAACCCCCGTAATCGCAACAGGATTCCTAATATTCAAACCTTACTTTTGAGATTCATGAACATTTCACGACTTAAAATAGAATTCGAACGAATAATTTTCACGATATTGTGCGCCCCAAAGCAATTTATTCGCTATAAATAATTCGTCAAAAAACTTAGAATACTTAAATATTTAAAAATGAAATTTTATATAAATTAAGTAAATAAATCAGCTGAAAACTAATAATAAAAATTATTGAATTTTGAACATGTATGCCCATTTGTTTGAATGAATTGTATAGTCGTTAGTGTGCTCCCCTATCTTTCAAGAAGACAAAGAAAATTTATTGTTGGGTAAAAATATTTTAAATTGGAGTAATGAGTTTCTCTATAATTAAAATCTAATTGATTTAATATTAAAATTGGCAATTGAAAATGAAATTAAAGTTGAATTTACTTCAGTAATCTCGAAAGATTTTAAATCTTATTAAAAAATTCATAAATATTAGAAATGGTTCATATGATTGTACACCCGACGGACACAATATCTGTCCAGATCTTACTTCACGCTAGACATGAAAAGTTCTCATAAACGTATAGACTCCGAATCATCAGAACAAGTGAAGTCGATCCGGACAGGTATTATGTCCGTCGGGTGTACTCATAACACAGGCACAGCAGTCGGCCATCTTGTCTTGCTCATACTGCTTTGTCTGAAGTATATGTAGATACACGCCACATGAGGAATTCTCAACGGAACTTATAGCACAGATGAAGTTGAACTAAGCTATGGTCAAATTAAAGTTTTCTCTGTTAAAATTTTTTTCTTAACAATCATGTTAAACATTATGGGAGATAGATCTATTTATATTAATCGATGATATAACCCGAAACATAAGGTCACATGATTATTAGTATTTTTTGAATGATTATTAATCACTTTTTTCATTAATTTTTTATGCGATAAATATTAATGAACCATTATAAAATTTATGCGAATTTTTCCGATGAACAACGGAAGTATAAAATTTCAGATTTGATATAAATTTTAAGTCGTGAAAAGTCTATTCGTAAAACAAACGAATGAAGACACTTTTACTAATGTTTTCATTCATATTCATCAGATTAATGTAAACATAAATTCATTCATACCCGAATGCTTTACACCATATCTAATATCACTTATTAAGTACATCAAGTACTTAATATAAGTAGACAAAAATAATAAAATTAGTAAAAATAACCGAACTTTTATTAAGAAAAATATGAATTGAATTAGTATGTAGCACGATGGAAGTGTCATATACATGAAAAAAAAGAATTGGAGAAAAAATTGATGTTTGAGTTGTATTGAGAGATTAAGTTATGCAGAGCCTCAACACTGAGTTATCACCATCCAAAATAATCAAGTTAAACCTAACCTAAAAATTCAAATTTTCAACAAATCGATTTAAAAGAAGGGAAGAATCTTCGGTTCAAGATCAAGTTTTTCCTTCATTTGACTCACGAAGTCATCAGGATTTACATGAATTTGGTTTGATTCTTACAAACTTCAGTAATGGTCGCAAAATGTGTTAGGATCCCAATTCCCGTTAAGTTTAAGTTGTCTTTGATTGGTTTACGAATCAATTTTACGAACATGGGTGGACACTCTAAAGTATAGTCAATATAAATTACTTTACTTATTTCTTAAACTATACGGAAACAACTAAGTATTATGAACAAATAATAAAAGTACTCACGCTTCCTCGATCAGCTGCAATCCGCACTGGCAGCAACACATATTATGAGATAAATAACAACGCGACGTTGCCACATACTCGGTACGACCTCTATCGTTGTACATGTTGCCGCACAGAAGTATATAGCATAGACGCTTGCAGTCCCAACTTCCGAACACTACGTTCAACATAGTTATATAGTTATACTTCGCCGCCATGAGTATTTTGTATTATTTGGTGACCTAACAGGAAAACACCCTTCTTTAGCTACTTTTTTTATTGAACAACAACGAATGAAAATATTAAATCAAGCCTTATGATGGGCACTGCTAACGCATGCGTACGGTATTGATCAGATGATCACAGACACACATGAGGAACCGATATTAATACTAAACAGCATTTGATTCTCGACAAATTATTTACTGTTTTTTGAATGAGTTGACCATACACGCCACAATTTAAGAATCGAAAGTCCTATTGCACTACACAATTTCAAATTCACTTTTACTAGTAGTCCCTGTTACAGCATAGTAATGTATGCTGACAATATTTATAAATGAATCTGATTCCATTGAATAGACAGACTTGAAGAGTTAAAGAAAATAACTAAAGAGTACTCTTTTAAACGAATCAGTAGACAGTGGAAGTAAAAGACCTTAGCTTATCTTCACAAGGTTAAACGTAACAAAGACATTTCAGAAAATGCCTTTGGGATTAGTTGGTAATAAACAAAAGTTTATGTGCATATAATTTTAATCGAGTATTGAGCATTCGCTACACACAGAAAGAGTTTGCCGATGTTGTATTGCTCATATCTACAATTTTCTTACCTTGTACTATAATAAAATACCAATTCTTAAAGAAGTAAATTTTTGGGACATATATATTCCACTCAATGATTGATCGATAATATACGAAAACTAACTAATGTAGGTCATTTTGTGTCATATTCAGTCTCGGACTTTTTTAAACATTTTTTGTGAACATAGTCTGTAAAAATTAAATCTAACAATGTTTGCTAAATAATACCTACATTTGTATTTAAGTAATTATACATTAAAGATCTGATAGGTTAAAAATTTTTCATTTTCATCTGTAAGAAACAGTGACAGATTATTGGAGTACTAGACGAAAAATGGGTGATCTCTTATTGATTACTATCCATGATCGTCTCTCACTTTCATTATAATCAATTTCCAGAATAGTTTTTAATATAGGTCAATATAACTCTTGTTTCATCCAATACATTTTCTAGGAATCGTAATAATTCAATGAGATAACTGAGTCATTTTAACTGAGTACTTATGAGTGAGCACAAACTGGTACGCTCAAGTTGAACTCGGTTCATGGGTGCGCATAACTGTGAGTTTGTCATATAACTTAGAATATCGGTGCACAATAACTCAAAAAGTCATGTGGATACTGAATATCATAGCTTGGTGAAGTCAGTGTTATGTTTTGAATTATTTCCAAGGGTCATAACTCCTCTCATGTTGCACAAAACGTTGCAGGTAAAGAAGTACTTTCATGGGTAGCATATCAGGAAGAAGCTAATGGCGTCTATAACACACGAGGCTTTATGTATTAAATTAAATGGAAAAGTGTTACTCTTCGTGGGGAGCGTCGATATTTGTGTACAAATTTATACATATTTTAATGACTTCTTATTATTCCAGACTATAGAATTTCGAATTTTCCAAAGGAAAAGCAAATGACTCACTTATAAGTATTATAGAAAAATTTGGGCTTATTTATGCTCAATTAGCAACATTTAAAAGTCCATAATTTATTGTCTACAGTATGACAACGGTAGTCTGTTTTATGTTCTTCCAAGTTGGTATTTATTCCTACGTTGATAAGTAACGAATCCTAGTATATTCTAATATCTTAATATGTTGTACTTCGCATTAGTACTTGTAGTTACCACATTGCTCTTAGGCGGCGTCGCTAGTCAGAGGCATAACTTTTCTATAGTGCACGTGCAGCAATTCGTTCTGTACACCTAACTAACATGCTTCGAAAATTCGATAACGAGTAATAGAAAGCGTGGATCCAACAAAATAGGGGTTTTAATGCTATCTCGGGTACTATTGTTATTATTGTCGCGTATCTTAAACACAGACGATTGCCCCTCTATATGTTGTACCTATGTTTTCTCCTCGGATTCAAAATAAACGATGCAAATGTCTGTCAAACTCATACCTTCAAGATCTATTAACATAAACTCCCATTACTTTTGAGTATATGTAAAAATATAAACTTAAATCTGTAAAAAATGGATTACCGAGCAACAATTTGAAAGCTCAAGGATGTTAGAGAACATGTAGAAACGTATGTATTTAAATCTACACTGCGCAACAAAATTATCGCAAAAAAAAATTTTCATCGGAATTTTGTCAATTTTCAAATGCTTCTATCTTGATCTCTATTCATCGTATTGAGACGAATTTTTTGTTTATTTCTTGGAAATGTTGTCTTTTTTAAACCCATAATACTCAATATATGGTCAAATCCCAAAATAAAATGCAGTTTCGTTAACAAAAAAGGTGGAATTTTTTTTTGCGTGACCAGCGGGCCGGACCTCCGCAAATTGTTTCTAGGAGTTCTAGGAGTGAGAAAAAACGCGTGAACATGAAATTTGAAGATAGGTAATTTTTCTTTGGTCACTTCACTTTTCACGCAAATACGACTTATTACTCGATTTCTAAGTCGTTGAAAAAGTATCAAAACTCATCTAAAAAAGTAACTGACTACGGTATTCGATAGGAAATTTCCTCAGATTTCCGATGTTATTATTGGATATTCCGAAATGTCCGAATAAGGGCTAAATATGTCGAAAAATTTAGTACGAAAAAACTTTTTTATTCTAGTCCAATTACGAGTGAATTTCAATTGTAGTGAGCCGTGGGTAAAAACCTCGAGACCGCTCTGAAAACAGCTCGAGAACAGAAATCGGAGAACAGAGAACTCAAAATTCGCTTGTATATGATTGTAAAAGAGTACATTCTATATAAACGTTAAAACAATCAATTTTTTTTCAGTAATTTTTAGTGTTGTGCTCAAATACTACTGGTAACTCAATGTTAACTTGAATCTTTTGCAAAATGGAAATGAAAATTTGAATTTTTTAACTGCATTTATAGTATGACATACTTAAGGAGAATAGATCTATACAACGTTATTTTGTATTCTAATACTGTATGCATGTTACGTGGATGAAACACACCGTAACGTGGCAGAAATTACGGGACTTTCGTTCTTAGATTGACTCTTGATCTATTTTGAAAATGGTTGGTGAAACCCGTATATAATGATACATCAAATTGACTTTCAATTGATATGGAAAACTGCAACGTTCCATAAAAACATATGTTAAATCAGCAAAGTGTGCATCTAATCATCTTTCGAATTTGGTTGGGAACCCGGAATTTTTTTACCGATGAATTTTCAATTACTAAATTGTCTTGTTTTTAATCGCACAAATCAAGCGTCAAATTTCATTGTGATAGTGAGCTCGCTCCAACTGCTCCACTTATTGATTATCGCGATTTTCACTTGGTATAACGCCCATAATACATGCTTCGTACTTAATTATACCTATACACAGCATGACTTGATCATTGGTATTTATAAAAATATAGAAAACTTATACATTTGCTAAATATTAATCTTGATAGAGGGGTAAAACAAAAATGACCATAAAAAATATGCAGTTATTTATGGATGGCGACCACATAAGAATTAAAAATACAACATTTATATGAAATAATATTGATAAATATTCGATATTAAATTTTAAAAATATAACAGAAAAATTATCCTACTGGAAATCATTTCAAAATTTTCTAGAAAAAAAGATCATTTTGTAAAACGATCGCTTTTGTGAAAACTGCAAACATGGAATGATGACAAAATAATTAAAAATCTAATGCGCTTACGCAGTTGGTCGCATGAATTTTTACTTTTTTTGGAGTTGATATCCACAATGTAAGAAGCAATAGGCTGCTTTCACAGTCGTCTGTGACGGTCACAAATCGACCAGCTGATTTGACTGGAGGCCAAACAAAGCGACTGCCCGTATACTTTACATATTAAAGTTGGTTAATTAAAATACTTGTAATTAGTTTAAAGTGCAGTAAAAAAATAAACAAAAAATATCTGGAGAAAGAGGAAATCCTCGTTTATTGAAATATCGAAGCGGTTTTTGGTTAAAGTCTTCAGTTTATAATTGAAAAAAATATTGAAATTACGGCTTTTTTATCTGTGATGTTGACAATTAACTCTAATAAAACAGTTATTAAAAGTGGTTTTTTAGGTTGCAATACAAACTCTCAAGCGGGGACGTTTTTATTTTTCCAAATGACCAACGAAAAACCAAGAAACAATCGTAATTAAGAACATTATTCTCAAGGAAGGGCCAACCTTCATTGCGATTGCGAGATCATTTTCATAATTTTTTGAAATTACGATTGTTTCTTGGTTTTTCATTGGTAATTTGAAAAAATAAAAACTTTCCCGCTTGAGAGTTTGTATTGCAACCCAAAAAACCACTTTTATTAACTATTTTACTAGAGTTTATTCACAATATCACAGACAAAAAAGCCGAAATTTCAATATTTTTTTATTTACAAACTAAAGACTTTAACTAATAACCGCTTGGATATTTCGATACACAAGGATTTTCAGTTTCTCCAGATATTTTTTGTTTATTTTTTTACTGCACGGTAAACTAATTACAAGTACTTAAACAAACCAACTTTAATATGTACAGTATGACATACAGCTGGTCGATTTGTGACCGTTACTGACGACTGTGAAAACAGCCTATTGCGTTTATGCATAAGTCGCTCTTGCAAGTTGCAACCTCGTTCACGCTCATTCACGGCCATTCATAACCGTTCAGCCTTTGTAACACTCGCGAGTTCACAGTAGCGCACGCCGCATGAAGCACGTGTGAAAGTGTAAACCTATTCTGTATAAACCTGTTTAATTTAAATTATGTCTAGATTGCAAACAATATCGGACTCTCGCATATCAAAAATGAAACCTAAAATAAATATCCATTTAAATGGTTACGGAAGTAAAGAAGGTGATATAAACTACAACCCTTATGAAGATGACTATTCTTCATCTCCTTCAGATGATAGTGATTATGATGAATATGATGAACATGATTGGGAGTATGATGAAGATACAGGACAAAAGTGTTCAGTGCAACCGAATAAACAATCATCTAGTAATGCTAACAATAAGCCACATTTGAAGAATTTTGCAAGTAGAGTTATAGTTGAAGAATATAATGGACCACAGTTAAAATCAAATGTGACTAATTTGTTGAGTGAAAAAGCAAGAACAATTGATAATGACAGAAATCGTATTAAAGATAAAAGTGATCGTGCCACATCAGAACAAGTTTTGGATGATAGAGTTAGAACTATATTATACAAAATGATCTCTACACATGTAATATCTAAGATCAATGGTTGTGTATCTACTGGAAAAGAAGCCAATGTTTATCATGCATTATCTCCAGAGAAAGTTGAATATGCTGTTAAAATCTATAAAACATCAATTTTAATATTTAAAGATAGATCACAGTATGTTGTTGGTGAACGTCGTTATAGACATGGTTACTGTAAAAGTAATCCAAGAAAAATGGTTGCTCTTTGGGCAGAGAAAGAGATGAGAAATTTAAATCGTTTAGTAAAAGCAGGTATTTGTGCTCCCACACCCATAAAAATTAAAGGTACTGTGTTAGTAATGACATTTTTTGGTAAAAATGGTTGCGCCTCACCTAAATTGAAAGATGCTATTCTTGAAGCTTCAAAGCCCAGAGAACTTTATAGGGAATGCATTGTTATAATGTGGAAAATGTACAACCAATGCAAACTGGTTCATGCAGATTTGAGTGAATACAATATTTTGTATCATAAAGGATCATTAGTTATAATTGATGTTTCTCAATCAGTAGAGCAAGATCATCCAAAGGCACTTGAATTTTTAAGAAAAGATTGTACCAATATCACAGGTAATGATGTTTTTATTATAATTTTAACTTGGGAATTACTTATTACAGGTATCTTTGTACCTCTATAATACTATTTTTGTTATTAGATTATCTATAATAGATTCATTTCAATTATTAAAACTAAAATTATTAATGTACTCACAGATTTCTTCAAGAAAAACCAAGTTGCTGTGATGTCAATAAAATCATTGTTTGAGTTTATTGTTGATCCAAATATCACAGAGAAAAATATGGATGAATATTTAGATGAAATGTCAGCACAAATAGACTGCAATACTGATACTACTAGTGATCCTGAACAACAAATTGAAGATGAGGTGTTCAAGAATGTTTATATTCCACAGAGATTAGATGAGGTAAATATTTTCCACATAACTATTATTTCATCATTAAATTGGCTGAGCAGAGCATAATACTAAAATATAAATTATTAAGGTAATTGATATAGAGCGAGACATAAAAATTGCAAAAGCTGGAAAAGGAGACTTGGTTTATGAAACATTAGTTGGTTTAAAATCTGATTTATCAGCACCAGCTTCAGTACCAAAACTTTTAGAAAAAAAATATCAAAAAACATATCAAACGTCAGATAGTTCTGACTACAATGACTCAGATGACACAAAATCTGAAGATGATGAAGAAGATGAAAGAAAATCAAAATTTGTTAATTCTGCTAGACCTAAAAATGAGACTACGGAAGAAAAGAAAGTATGTATTTTTCTATTCAATGCTAATCATAATGAATCATAATGAAATATTCATATTGATTTTGTTCATTCCAGGCTAGAAAGAAAGAAATTAAAGCAGAAAAAGCTGAAGTAAGAAAGACAAAACTCAAAAAGCACATAAAAAAACGTCATTTAAAGCAAGGCAAAGATAAGTAATATGCAAAGCATATTGAAGTAATTTATTTGTTACATATTGTACATTATTATTACATGTTAGTAAATTAATAAAAAATTAAATTTTAATTGTAAAAAAAATTGATCGGTTTCATTCAATTTATTTATTTAAGTACCTTACAACATTTCAAAATTTGGGTTATCGTTAGTGTTCAATGTCTAAGTTAGTATATGTTTCTTGTTCATAAAGTTTGATGAAATATAAAAAGATGAGTATTATTAATCATTAATCAAAAAAAAACTTTTACGAAAAAATTAAGTAAATTTATTATATCAATTGTTTTTTGAGATGCTTCCATTCATTTTATGATTGTAACAATGAAAACTAGTCCTCATAAAAAGTTTGTCTTAGTGAATGCCAGCTATATGCTCATAAATATCATGTAAAAAACAACTTACATTTCATAAGCAAAAATTTAGTAATTGGAGACAATTACTAATTAGGATACGCTTGTAAAATAATTGGTAACCTTTTTTACCACCCAAACTCACGTGTTATTTTCTTTACTCGCCTATTATAGATTTTACAAAGAAAGTTTAAAGAACAAAAAGTGTTTTAAATCGTTTAATGAATATGCATGAGTTTTGTAAGTTTTATCAGACCATTTTAGAACTGTAGGAATATGACAAGATTTGGAAAAATTCAAAATGTTTAAAAAAAATCTGAAAAAATCTACAGGTTTTTAGCGAGTTTTAGCACTATTAATTCTATAAAATTTGTTTGTAAAGTTGATGGGTGTTAAGTAAAAATTTCATACATTTTTGAGTCGCAGCCCTGTATTAGTCCGCAATTTTTGAAACTTCGATATGAGATGAAAATCGCAGCACCTTGTTTTTTAAAGGTTTGGAACAAAAGTGCCCGACGTGTTATTTGGGTCCTGTAAAGGCAGAAAAATTTGTAATCGAAAACTTACATTTTTTTCGTTTGATTGCAGGATGAATAATAGTAATATTTATTTATCACAAAAATAACACCAAATTCCGAAAAAGCACACCCAAAACTCTCCAAATACTAATTTTGAAAAAAATATTAACTTTATCGATGGTATTTATTCAATGAAAAATTGATGCTTAAAATTGCAAGTTAGCTCGTTATAAGATAAAACATTAATTTTGTAAATTTTACTAAAAGAATTCTTTTAATTAATTTTTGGCTGTAAAACCAGAAACTGTAGTCAGCGCCAGAACAAGTTCGGTCAAAACTTAAACGACACATTATTATGTATCTTGCACGTGTTGAGATCTTGTCAATTCACGTTACGACATCGAAACGCGAACAACAAAAAAGATCGCGTGTTGGATCGACTGCAGCAAGTGATTTTCGAATTGTAGGTACTATGTGTTGTGTATGTAAGTGCTCAGTATAATGGACGTGTACGACGACTCATCCGATGAAAATTTCTATGGTGACGACCATGATTCCAAAGACTTGGATCTTCTTAAGCAAGAAACATTAGAAAAATTGAAGAGTATGCGTGAAACTGTTGATTGGGAGGTCGAATATGAGCGATACACATTTTTCTGTTCTCTTAGAGACTTGATTTTTAATTGGGACTGCCAACCTCCAGATCTCCTAGATATTTTTCGGCCCGAAGAAATTGATTATTTTCTCTTGGAGTCTGTAATTGATACGTATGACGATAAATATTATCAAGGAAAACGATTCATCAAGTTCGTGGCTCGCAGCAGTTACAAGGATAAGCCAAACGAGGATGAAGACGGCAAGCCATCGTTGCGTCGCACCACCGCAGTGCATCATGCAGCTAGACGCGAGTTCCTCTGTGTCGTCAATAATTTATTCAAAATTTACAATAGGTTTGACGTGAATTACACCGACGAGGTCGGTCTCACACACTTTCACGTGGCTAGCATGTCTGGATGTGAAGACGTCGTCGAGAAATTTCTCAAGCTTGGCCAGGATGCCAATTGCCTCGGATACATAACAGGTGATTCGCCACTTCATTTGGCTCTGACTTGGAACCGCGAAAGGGTGGCGGAATTACTGCTAAGAAACGGCGCCAACCCGAACTTAGCCAACGCGAAAGGACTGACTTCTCTGCATATTATGTGCGGGAGAGATGACCATTATGACTTGGTGAAGATGTTATTCGAGATTAGCAACGAAAAATGTCAGATATTGCAGGTCAACGCTCAAGACAAGTCTGGCTTGACACCACTTCAATGGGCTCTGCGCTCCGGCAACAAAAAAGTGGCCGAATTGCTGCTGATAAATGGCGCCGATCCAAATATGCCTGATTTCGAGGGATCGACTCCTCTTCACAGTATTTGCAAAGAATGCGACGACAAAGACTTAGTTGGGTTTTTCTTCAAGATCGTCGATGAAATCAAGCAGACCGTTAAAATTGACGCTGTGGACAAGTTCGGTCGGACACCCCTTCAATGGGCTGTGGCGAGTCTTTTGCCGCATGTGATCCATGTTCTTTTGGATAATGGTGCTGATTTGTCTGGTTTCGTTTTTCCCACTTCGCGTTATTTTGGCGAGAGATTCGACTCAAAAAATTATCGTGGTCATTTTAAATTGGAACTAACGTCGAAAGCTCTAATCATCGTTGAACATCTTGAGAAAAAAGGCTACAAAGTGGACCAAAGTGGCGCACTAACGATTATGACATTTTTGACCAAGCATGGTTGGTTCGAAAAGCCGTTGGATCTTGAAAAATGTTACTATGATAACGAGGAGTTCGTGAGCAAAGCAAAAGAGATAGTGATCACTCCAAGTCTGTCACTCCGTGACCTGACCCGGCTACAACCTGAAGAGGCAGCAAAACTAGTCACATATTCGGACTACTACAAGTTTGCAAACTCCTCCACATTGTTCAAGCTTTCCGAAAGGCATAGAGAGGCTTGTACTGAGCATCTGTGCGAGAAACTATCGAGAGGATTTTTTCGGCGATGGGCACTGGATTCTTTCCTGAAGTTGGCCCCTTATCCGCTGCCGATTCTCTGTTGTGAAATGATCGTTGAGCAGTTAATGAATGAAGATTTGCGGCGAATTTGCTTGGCGACTGCAGACCAAAGTTGAGAGCTACGAATCTTTTATATTCGAAACCATTATTACGGATAACGAAAAAAAAATGTAAACAATACAAATTAGCTGCAGCTTAAAAGTCATAAATATAAAAATTTGAGCTTTGAAACATATGTCAGTATTGCAACAGTAATAACTTTGTTTTGTTGGTAACGCTTCAACAGCTCTCTGAATTCTCTTCCTTGATTAATGAACATTAATTGAAGTCGAAAGAAATAAAATTAATGTATTCATCAATTTTATTGTAGTTTTAAAGATAAAAAATCATGAAGAAGTTTCACATCTTGCTGTTGTTAATCTTATATTTTTAATTTCCCAATATCTCGAAAACTATACAACAATAATAACAAGGACTTGAGCGACTTAATTATATTACTTTCATTTTTAAAAAAGTAAATAAATAATGGTTTGAATTTTTTATTTCAAACGTTAAAAAATGTTTGAAATATTCATAGCGAATAAATTTAAACTATAAAAAAAGTAAATAAATACACTGAATAAAAGTTAAATTAGTTTTGACTCCTGCAGTATGGAGATTTGACCCAACACAAGTAAAATCAGGTAGCATCAGGATTGTTGAGAGCTTATTCACACAAATGATTCATGTGTCTTATTGCAGTAAGTATATAGCAGGAGTCGAGCGATGTGCGAGACGAGAGACCAAAAACTTGTTCGACAATTTTTGGGTCTTCTGGAGGTAGACACCTTACGTATTTTTACCAGTCCCAAGAGTAGGGAGAGAAGGGGGAGATGGTGTTTATAACACGTCGTTGCTATCCTGCTGCGTACGGACGGCGGCAAAGTGACCGCCCGCCTCCATCGACGCCTGCAAATTGCACTGGCAGGATGTAAAGTTAGTATGTGAGTAAACTACATGCATACATATACACACATGGATGTATAATATGGTCTCTGGTCTGTGGTGAGGTGAGCCGTGAGTGCGCCAACGCAGTAGTCATGTGCAGGCGTTACAAGGCGTCGATTGGGTATTTTTAAAAGGAGAAAAACAATCAAACGGTCGTTCGGTGAGTTCGCCACCGACCGTAATATTTTGGCGTGTATACGTGTGTGCGCAGGGGTTTCAACTGATCGAGGACTTACTATTTTGCAAAAATGTTATTAAAAATATATTCATCGCTTATCATTTTAGCCGAGTTTTAAGAAAAGTTGCGATGTACTAGTTCTAACTTTTGGTTAAATTAAATATTAATTAAAAATTATGAGTTGATCATACATTGGTGCATTTTCTATTTGAAGACATTTTCTTAATACATTAGACAATGTCTTACGGTAAGTTTTATGGAAATTGATTTTTTTTCATTTAAATTTTCAAACTAACTGAAATTATAAATTTGTACATTAAATCTTACAGACACTCCGAAACGTAGCAAAGACGATTGTTACACTAAAATTACATTACTCAGGTAATCTTTGTTCAAGTTTTTCAATTCTTTAATTATAAACAAATATTGATTTCAAAAAAATGTTATTTTTCTATTTACTACAGGCAACCATCAATTATATCAATTATGGATGAAGTAATGAAATCAATTAATGAGTGCAATACTATCCGATATGCATCCTACAGAACTGCATGTAAAATGCAAATTTTGCATAGAATTTTAAATAGTAAGCACATTGACTTTTTATGAATTATCAATGGGTTCATTATTGATTTAATTATTTTTTATTCATTATTTTAGTGCATTATGTACATGTAGAACTCATTGCAGCAATTTTTGAACGACATAGATTGTCAGTTACAGAAAATGCTGTAGATTTAGATATACATGAAATAGATGATGTTCTATCAGATATATATTTTGCTGCTCAAAGAGAAAGTAATAAGAATTTTGATATTGATCAAACCACAAAATTAGCATTAAATTTCATTTATAAAATTTTTAACAAGTAAGTTCATATAATTAACTTGATGTATTTCTAAGTTCTCAAAATGGTGAATTTTTTTTTTTAGAAAAGAAGATAGTCACATTTCAGTTATTTCTGTCAAAACTGTTTTGACATTAATCAGTTGTGGGCGCTTGGAAGAAAAGTATGGTTATTTATTTCATCAATTGGCAGATCATAATGCATGTTTAACTAAAGCATCTTTAAAATCTCTTTTAAATAATATATGTAAAATAACTGAACTGTTGGGTGAAACAGTTGCATATGGAAACCATCTCATCCCTGCGAGTGTTGATAATTGTTTTAAAGAGGTAATTACTCTTATAATTAACTTTTGTTAAAATTTAATAAAGTCAATAACAATAAAAAGCAAAATTTAGTCACAAGGTTGTCTTGGTGTAACGGAGGCAGAATTTGCAGATTGGCTGATGCAAGAACCTCCACTATTAATGTGGATCACAACATTAAATAGAATAAAATCAGCTGAACAAAGTAAATAATCTTATTTGCACTTATTCTTTGATTTCTAAAAAAATATTCAAAGATTAATTCAATTTTCAATATAACTTTTTCAGTTATCCACAATGTTAAATGTTCTTCATGCAAAACCTCACAAATAAAAGGACCAAGATATTTATGTTTAAAATGTAGTAGCTACAATTTGTGTCAGAATTGTTTTCTATATGATAAAGTTTCAAGTAAACATAAATTAAAACATCCAGTCAGAGAATATTGTACAAAGGTAAATATTATATTATTTTAGATCCATGTAATATTTTATATTTTGTAGTATATGAAAAACTTAATTCCAACAAATTTTCTATTATACAGACAAGTAGTCGAGAAGTAAGAAAACTGCTTCTTGAGCTTTTCAGAAATAAATTAAGATTATGTCCTAGGAACGTGGACACTACTTTAGATGATTTTTCAGGATTTAACTTGTATGAAATAAGAAATATTCTTGTATTTAACAATTAATAATTTAAAAGTAATAAATCATTACAACTAATTTTTTTTCAGAGAACAAACAAATAATTTTGATTCAATGTCTATTAGAAGTACCATGAAGAGAAGAATTCTTAATGATCCTCAAAAAGAATTGCAAAGTATTATCACTAGACTAGAAGATGAAAACAGACAACTTCAAATAGAACTGAAAGGAATTAGCGATACTAGAATAGAAAAATTACAAAACCATAGGGTTGCAATTGAATCACAATTAGAAAGGCTAAAAATTTTAAAGGTAATTGATAATCATACATTAATTTTTCATTTTAATTTTTTTTTTAAAGAAGCAATTTTTAAACACTACAAAATATTTTTAGAATTACCTTTTTTTACCTGGAACAAAGAGAGTTCTCCAACCAGTTAATAGTAATTTGAGTTTCATACAAAGTACTCCCATGGTTCACACCGCTGTATCCAGAATAGCAGCCCTGCCATTAGAGTTTCAATTAAGCCCAATAGTACATTATAATAGCAGCCCGCATTATGAAAATTCTGATGTTCTTAATGTTAATGAAATAACTACTCAAATAAATTCATGCAGTGAGCAAAGTGAATCAACTTCTAGCAATGATCCTGATTTTTCTAGCAACACACAGATTGAGCCAAGTACATGGATTGGAGGTATTAACAAATGTCTTGAATATTTTTTTAATAAGAGACAATATATTACTATTAAAATTCTTTTTCAGGACATCGTACAACATTTGACTCTAGTGATAGTGGTTTCTCTCAATGGTTGAATAATTCTTCTAATAATAAAAATAAATCAGATTCTTCAAATTATAAAGGAAACAAAAATAATTCTGAAATAGATAACATTAAGAAAGATATCTTGCCATCTTTAAGACGTAGTGATAAAAATTCGGAACATAGTAGTCTGCAAAATATTCAAGGTGATCTTAATGACATTTTGGACAGATTACAAAATATGGTTGCCAATGACTGTTTACTAGAAGGTAATATTATGGTTTTCAAATTACTATTCAACATAATTAAATCTAATGAATAATGATTTTTCTAGATACTTTTAGCGAAGATAATAATTGCGAATTAAAAAGAGCTGCTACAGAAATGGAAGATTTACTAACAGGTCTTATTGAAGGTATGGAATCACGAAAAGGCAAACTTACGACAATTGTATAGAAAATAATTAGTAATTTAATCAAACTGTTTGGACATTGTGCACTCGACGATTTTGTGTCATTTTGATTATTTTATCCTTAAGATTATATTATATTATATTTTATAGATCTCGAACTATTGTGTATAATTTTTGATGTTTATATTTTCGAGAGTATAATTATGAAGTTCTACTTTGTATGAAATTTGTATATATGTACAAGTATCACAATATATAAAAATAAAAGTCGCAATATTAATTTTTGTGCAAAGTATATAAATTATTTGTATTTTATATTGATTTATATTAGTTACCATTCACTGATATTGTTTAAGAAAAACATCACATTCTAATTAATAATACTAACTATTCTTAAAAGTTTAGCAAAAATCCCTGCAATAAATTGGATTACATATAGCACTTTACAACATACTTTCTTCTTACATAAAAGATTGATTGCAGCTTTATAAATATTGTCATAATATTGCAGGCTTATGAAAGTAATGTATCAGTTAAATATGACACCTTAAGGTTTCTTAGGAAATGTGTTTTTTCTGATGATAAATTTACTGTCCAAGCGAAGACTCTGACTTCACGATTGTTCCACAGACGAACAACTTCTCTGCAATATAATTGTAAAATTTATATTTAATGTCATAAACTATATAATTTATTTGCAAAAATTAAGTATAATGATACTTACGGACTGATGAGATCTTTATGAAGTAATACAAATGACAATCCTAGTAAATAATATGTTAGACGTGGAAATGCCCAGTCATGGATAAGATCCATCATTGATGCTAACAAGTGCATGTGTAAGCTATTATAACGTGGTTCCCAAGGTCCTTTCTGCCCATTATAATTGAAATAAGTAAAAAATCCAGGTCTATAAGCCATACCAGCAATAATTTTAGGGTCTTTTTTTCTGATCTACAAGAAAGCATACCAAATATCATAAGAAAATATTTAAGATTTTAACCCACTTTAATTTAAAAAAAATTTTACATTGTAAACGGTCAAGGGATTAAAACTGGATATAGCGGCTTGATTATATAAATCTGGATATTTCTTGAAAGCATCTAAAACTACATTAACTATTTCATTGCCTGATGCTTTTATGTCAATAAACATTCTTTGACCATTTTTTAATGTTTCTACTAAAACTTCTTCAAACGATGCTATTCTTTCACCATGGAGATTTAGTTTTTCTCTGTAAAAATCATACATTTTTCCTTATTTTCAAAAGAATTTTAAAGAGTGAAGGTGAACATTACCTAAGACAGTGAGTAGCAGAAATGTCATAAGCTTGTAGGTCATTCCATGTCATATCACTTATATTACCTTCAAAGCCAGTCAATCTATCAATATTAGTATCATGAAACAATATAGGAACATTATCTTTAGTTAATGCTAAATCAAATTCAATTGCACCAACACCTTTTTGGTAGGCCTAAAGAAGAAAAAAGAATTTTATAAACTTAGAACAGTTATAAGTTGAATGATAAAAGTCATACTCACGTTGCGAAAAGCTGATAAACTATTTTCAGGATAATCAAATCCGGCTCCTCTATGGGCACACACTCTAATACAATTTTTGTCATCTTCCTCGCGTTTAAGCCTTAATTCTTCCTTTTTTTCATCATCGTATTCATTTTCTTTTTCATCTTCCTCATTTTCACATAATATATTATCAAAGGACATGAAATCTGCTACATAATCTATTTCGAGAGGATCAATGCCAAGAAACTTCTTAACTTGAACATCGTTTGGTGTAGGCACATGAATAAAAAATTTCATTAGAACAATAACTGCGATAGCTCCCCAAACAAACCATGGTAAAGTGAAGTAAAAACAATCAATTATTAAGGAAAAAATTGTTTCAAGGTAAAGCCAAAGCAACACAGCAGTTGAGCCAATTTCCAAACACTTCAATATCTTCATTTTCTTTAAACTCGATGGCAGATTTCTAAGACATGTATGCTATTTCTACAGACTAAATAGGACTTCACTTGTTAGCTTATAGTCTGTTTGCTATTCATCGAATGATAAGAGTTTTCCACGACGTAATCTTCATTATTAGGCCGAGCAATGGTGCGATGCCGAGTTTTATTTTTATCATATGAATTTCTGCATCTGCGACGCGCACGAAACGATGCCGGTCGTATTGTTGTTGACAGTAACTAAGCTATATGATGTATATCGGTGCATTTAAACACGATACACTTGCAGTGGCGTACCAACTCACACTACGTCATGTGGGAATTTGTGTTTGAATTCATTTAATTTTTGTTTAACAAACACATAAACGCAATTTCAAAATAAATTTTTTTGCACATAGACGATGCTCAACTTTCATTACGAGACTAATAAAAAACATGAGTATGACTCATGACTTATGCGGGGCTGCATAACTTTAACGTGAGCGCTAATGAACGCCAGCCAACTGACCTTACTATATTCATATATAAATAACGTCTGCTAGTTTGAAATGTTTCGATAAATTGAGTTTGGATACTCTGACATTACGTGACATGTTGATATGAGACATTAAAATAAGCATTTTTTGAATAAATAAATATTAATTTTTTATAAAATAATATTTATCATACAGCTTTTTGTTTTAGAAAAATGTCAAATAATCATTTTTTAAATGCATTTCAAAAATTTAATTTTATATACAAAACTTTTTCCACTGAAGCCTGGAAGAAAAGCTCAACCATTTATGCACTTTCATCTGGTTAGATCTTGTGCAGTAAAATACTTTATCTTAGATAATTTGTAATAACTTTTTTTTTCTTAGGCCATGGAAAATGTGGAGTTGCTGTTGTAAGAATATCAGGCCCTTGCGCTAAATTAGCAATAGAAAATATGACAAATATTTCAAAGCTAGAAGCTAGAAAAGCTTATTTAAAAAATATACGTCATCCAACTACAAATGAAATAATTGACAAAGGCTTGTGTCTATGGTTTCCAGGTATAAATTTGCATATTGTTTTATACTTTAATAATTTTCACAGTTTCACAAATTTTCAGCACCTCACTCTTTTACTGGAGAAGATAGCGTTGAATTTCAAGTACATGGTGGTACAGCTATTTTATCAGCTTTAATGTTAGCACTTTCCAAGTTAGGGTTTCGTCCAGCATTAGCCGGTGAATTTACAAAAAGAGCTTTTTTCAATGATAAACTTGATTTAACAGAAATTGAAGGCTTAGCTGATTTAATACATGCTGAAACTGAACAACAAAGAAAACAAGCTCTAATACAGGCCCATGGAAACTTAAGTGCTCTTTATAGTACTTGGAGGTCTATTCTTTTGAAATCTTTGTCTCATATTGAAGCTTATATTGATTTTGGTGAAGAAGAAAATATCGAAACTGAAACTTTTAAAGTATGCAATTCAGATCTAATAGATCTTTCTAATAAAATTCAAAAACACTTGTTGGATGATCGGAAAGGAGAGATATTAAGAAATGGTATTAAATCTATTATATTAGGTGAACCTAATGTTGGGAAAAGCAGTTTACTGAATCATTTGGTAAATAGAAATGCTGCAATTGTAACTTCAATACCTGGTACTACAAGAGATATTGTGGAATTGACTGCCAATATTGCTGGTTATCCAATTTTATTAGCTGATACAGCTGGTATCAATAGAAACACCACTGATATAATTGAAAAAGAAGGTATCAAAAGAGCTAAAGATCAAGCTAAAATGGCAGACTTTATTATGCTCGTTATCGATGCATCAAAATACAAAGCCTCTAATCAAACATTTAAGGAATATCTTCATAATTATGTAAAAAGTCTTGAACTAGAATGCTTGTTACTGAAAAAAAATAATCTAGTAAATAATTGTATAATAATTTTAAATAAGATAGATTTATTAAATGAAGTTGATAGGAAAAATGTACAGAAACAAAATGTAATTAGCATATCTTGTGCTAATGAACAAGGTTTTGAAAAATTATTGGAAACAATGGGCAAAAAATTTGAAGCCATGTAAGTTTGAATTTTTGTACTTGGTAAATTTATAGAAATTTATTTCGTTATTTTATGTTTTTACAGTTGTGGAAACCCAACCGCTGAAAATCCGACTATCAGTCAAGAAAGACATAGAAACCATTTACAAGAGTGCCATAATTGCCTTATGAATTATTTTGATATGATTTCAAGGAAAAATTATGATGTTGTTTTAGCTGCCCAAGAAATTCGAAAAGCGGCTCGCGAACTAGGAAAAATTACCGGACATGTTAGTACAGAAGAGATTTTAGATATAATATTTAAGAACTTTTGTATTGGTAAATAAATTTTATACATACATTTTATAAACTATAAATTATTCAAATCCCTTGTTTTCCGGTGTTTTCATAATTGAAATTTGCGCCTTTCGTTGTCGGTCACCTAGCATACGCAAGCTGGTGCTCTCAAAAACAGCACCAAACCAACAGTGAGCATGAAATTTAAATTTGTGTCAAGATGTAATTTGAAATTCTATTGTAAAATTTTTTTTTATTTATTAAAATAAATATGATTACCACTCTAATATTTTGTCAGCAATTATATTTTTAATTTAATAAATACCAAAAAAAATTTACAATAGATATTTTAAATTACATCTTGACATGAATTTAAATTTCCTGCTCACTTTGGTGGGTGCTGTTTCTGACTTGTCACTTGAGGTCGCTGACGCAAGCGCAGTGCAAGTTGCAACCTCGTGGCGTCGCTAGGAGGTTACCGAATTTTACGTATTGCTTTCTCTTTGGCGTGTAGACCACGAGAACACGTTCGTCATCCATTGTATAAATCCGGTAAATAAAATTATAATCTTTAAACTATTTAAATATTTATTATCATATATATGATCCTTATTGTCGCTAGTCATTGAATTCTCAAAAATTTGTTTAAACGCATCATCATACACTGCGTTTATCATAATTGTGTTAGTGTGTAACCTTCACCATTGACGCCTGATATTAATTTTTTACAGTTTAGCAATGGCTCCAAGGGTAGAATTGGCTATCGGCCTTAACAAAGGCCACAAAACCACCAAAATCAGGGTAGCAAAAAACCCAAGTGAAAAGGAGAAAACGGTTGTTGTCCGACCAGCTAGACTGAAAGGCGTAAGTACCTTTGCATATGTATTCTTTATAGGTTACAATTCTATTATCACGATAATAAAACAATCAAATTATTGTTGATAATAAACAATCACTTGTGTAGAGAATTCATCATTCAATGTTTTTTGCGATCATTAAAGAACGGTTGAAAATAAAAATTTACGTTATTAACAGATGACATCAAAAAAATATGATTGCATCTGGGCTAAGCCATAGTTTGCGTGATAATCAAAAAATTTTTTTTCCTTAATTATGGGGTCTCTAGGTCCCACCCTATTGGATTTTCAGGGTCTTAAAGTTGAATTTTCTTTTTCTGCTAATATTCTGCTTACAATTCTGATTTTTTAGGGTTTATATGAAAAAATTGTTGAATCATAGTTTTTAATGTAAAATTTGATGTAGAATTCAAATTTGTAATATGAAATCATATTAACAACTTGAATCCCCATAAAAATGATATTTTCCTGCATTAATCATATAACTGTGCAAAAATAAACATGTTTGTATCCAGCGATATGGCCAATATTGTAATATGTTCATCGATACATCAAATTACAACTTCTGATAAATTTTGATTATCGGCAGACAAACAGAATTAATTATTGAGCTTAATATGAGTCAAGAAACATGGTTTTTCTCTAATTTTTCTTGATTCTTGACTCAATAATGAATTCTGTTTGTCTGCCGATAACCAAAATTTATCAGAAGTTTTAATTTGATGTATCGATGAACATATTATAATATTGGCCATATCGCTGGATACGAACATGTTTATTTTTGCACAGTTATATGAATAATGCAGAAAAATATCATTTTTATGGGGATTCAAGTTCAAGTTCATTTAATATGATTTCTTATTACAAATTCGAATTCTACATCAAATTTTACATTAAAAACCATGATTCAACAATTTTTTCATATTAACCCTAGAAAATCAAAATTGTTAGCAGAATATCAGCAGAAAAAGAAAATTCAACTTTATGAACCTGGAAATCCAATAGGGTGGGACCTTGAGGGCTGAAACTTTCAGGATTTTCACTTTTCAATGTACTCTTCAAAAGTACATAATTTAAGAAAAAAAATTTTTTTGACCATCACGCTAACTATGGCTTAGCTCATCTGTATCTATGAATAAATAGTCTCTGTTACTCTAAATTTTTCAATTTAGGATTCTAATTATTAAATTTATTTCAGCGTCAGACCAAGCACAGCAAGTTTGTACGTGACCTCATCCGTGAAGTCTGCGGACACGCTCCCTATGAAAAGCGTGCTATGGAGTTATTGAAGGTCTCGAAAGATAAAAGAGCTCTGAAATTCCTTAAGAGGAGGGTACGTATTGATACTATATATGTAGTTGCTTTGGAAGTTTTGAATTGTGTTTAATATTCATCAATTTTACAGTTGGGAACACATATCCGTGCCAAAAGGAAGCGTGAAGAGCTTGGAAACATCCTTGTACAAATGAGAAAAGCTGCTGCCGCTCATCATTAAGTAGCATTTTCTATTTATAAGGTTTCAAAATAAAGAAAACTGTAAAAAAAATTTTTCTGTGCATTCATTTTTTCATCAATATGCTTATGGTTAAATATTTTAACACTAACCTTAAAGTTCCTTGTCAAGATAGGAACATGAACAGCAAAAATAATTTTGTGATTAAATTGAGTTAGACATTGAAAATAACTTTTTGAGTTGAAGGTGACTACATAAAACTTGAAATCTTCAATCAATTTCATAAATAATTTAATAAATGAATCATATTTCAATCTTATGTAGTTGACAAATGTGAAACAATAGACTGAATATTAAGCAAAGAACATCCTTGCAAGTTTCTCATTTTCTTTTCAACATTGTATATACAGACTAATGAAATTCCTTGCATTATTTATAAATGTTAACTTTTTAAGTTTTAAATACATGAAATGTTGGGTGATCAGTAATAGTTTCTGTACCATTCCCAGCTTAGATGGTGATTTTCTAGATAAGAAATGATGTCACAATAACACTTGGTTTATATATGAAACTAGCAATGCCACCCTGCTACTGTGAATTTACCTGTCAATGGTTTTTAAATTCATCCGATCACAACCTGAACTCTGATCATTGAATATTTATAAAAGATGAAAACTGAAATTCTGATTGTGATTGTTGATAAATAACTGATTAAATAAAAAAATTTTACCTTTATATTTTCACTATTAAAGAATAAAAATTCAAGTCTTAATTTATAGTCTCAAAGTAATGATAGAAAGCTTTCTCTGCGTTCTTTTATAAACAAATTATCTATGTATTTAAAAATTATTTACACAAAAAAGTTATGTGAATACTTATTCATTATAACGATAAACAAGTAAAATGAAAATGATACAAATAATTCAGATAGTCAGAGTAATTAGTGTACATTATTTGTTTATATAATTTACATTGAAAGTAGAAGCATCGTACTGAACCAGTATATCAATTACATCTGGTAATCATACCGATATGAAGTTGCCAAACGCATATAAGCGGGCCTTAAGAGCATTGCTGCATTTAAACTTTAAATCAACAATACCGCAAATTTCTGCAGCTTTGAGAAAGTCATTCACGTTTTCGTTAATCATTGTATCGAAATTACCCGTGTACTTGTAATTCAGCATGACAAGCATAACCTTGGAATCGATATTGTCGATTTGCACATAGGCCTCTTCGTCGAGTCTTATGTTGGTTTGTCTGAACAGATTTTCGAATAAAGTACTGCACTTGAAGAGAATCTCACGGTGAACAGGAAATATAGTGCCTCCGGCCACAATGGCCGTATTCAGACGTTCCTTGGACAATCGTGCTCTACTGGACAAGTAGACGAGATTCGATGATAGGTCGCTTTGCAACGGGTTCATTATGACTTTAATACGACAAGCGATATTTAGTTGATAGGAGAGCAACAAGCGGAATTTTTTTTTCTTCAAAACTGACAGAGGAAATTCCGTGCCTACCAGATTTTCTGAGCTGTCTTCATTGGTGTGATTAAGAATTGCCGTATAACCGGCACAAACTTTCTCTTCGAAGTTTAACAATTCGATGGTAACTTCAGCCTTTAGTCGGCAGTTCGACAAAAGATTCACCTGAACTTTTAATTTTTCTTCTTCTTTGCCAGATTTTGGATTCAGTTCCGTTCCAACTTCGAGAAACATGTTCCAGTGCATGTCACTCCGATTTTGAGTTTCGAAAATCGGCGATTGCATTGGTCTTTGCGTTTTAGATAACTTTTCAATGTATTTAAATTTGATTGGCCATTTGTATTCTGCAGTATAAGTCAATTTTTTGACAATTTTCACTATACTCTGATCAATTTTGGATGCGATGAGCTGCTTTGGAGCCATTATGCATATCTGTATAATTGAAAAAAAATCATCAATGTCTATTTATTGAGTCTACTTTCAACATTTTTTAAATTATATGCCCACATATACTACTAGCTGCTGAGTTTAGAATCTGACATCAAGAGGTTTGAAAAAAACACTTTTTCGAATGTTCCGGAGTTCCAGCCATTTTTCTTATGATAGATTTCTGAACAATGAAATTCAAAATGAAGATATTTATGATCGAACCACGGATAATTCTGAAATTTTATTGAAATTGAAATAATTAAAACGATTTTTCTTAAATGAAAACATCACATGAATATCTAAACTAATGACGAATTATACAAGTTCATGTATAATAAATAAATTCTTTGCATATTATCTCTGATCGTGCGAACCTTGCATATAAGATTATACCTACCTTTAATTTTAACTCGTGACTGTTTTATACAAATAATAATTTATATTTTTTCAATAATAAAATAAGTGCAGATGTGAGACTTTTTTCCAGCAGTATCTCTTAAAGACCGCGTTGAGAAACTGAGAGACATGTAACAGTGTTTGACTTGTTACCATTAACTAAATTGGGCACTGAACGATGGTAAAGTTATTGAGAGCATTAGCAAGAAGATACTTAAATTAAAGATACATAGAAAATAAGTTTCCAATTGGTAATTTTCCATATAAGTTCTCGTAGGCGCCTAAAATGATCAATCGAGTCAAAAATGTCTTGTTTCGTGTATGTACAGAGCTGTTACATATTTTAGAAGAGTATATCCAATGATTTAAATAAAAATAAGCTGCCGAGCGTAATTTGAACTTTTGATTGTCACGCCATCTCTCGAAATGCCAGGATATATAACAAACAATAACACTGACGTTAATTCCAATGGGTCAAGTACTTTGACGAGTTAGTCGTTTGCCACAATTTGACATGGATTGCAGCGGAATGTTGAACCGACGCTTCAGCCCCAGTCCGAGGAAGAGCGACGAGTTGGAGGAAAATCAGGTGCCGCTCATCAAGACCCGCATCGCTGTGTGCCAGTCCGAGCTGGACGAGTTCATCAAGTACGTGGACGAGCTCGAGATCCAGGAGTCCACGAGGTCCGCCCAGCTCCAAGAAATGTCGCTGTGGAGCACCTACGCCGAGGGCGTCTGGAACGTCTACTTCGATCTGAACGTCAAGCTGGCCGAGATGTGCCCGGACAACCGTCCCGACATCGACGCGGTGCGCGACGCCTACTTTGTCGCGGCGTCCGAGCTCCAGTACAAGCTCAAGATCAACGGCAAGGAGCACAAGCCACCGAGGAACCTCGTCACTCAATGAGATACCCGCGCTTTTAGGAATTTTTAAATAGAACCCATGTAACCGTAACAACTTGAACTACGGGATGGTTTTAATTTAAAAACACTACGGTAAAAATTTTAAGATAGTATAATGATAAATGAAAATTAAAACCAAGTATGGTTGCGTGTTTTCAGTTATCTTTGATTTTTCTTGCTTTGACTTTGTAAATAAAGCTTACTTCATTAGAAGAGGGAACAAATTGATTTTCATGTGAACTGTAAACTATAAAATGTCTATTTCAATGGCAATTGTAATCATACGTCAGATTGTGTACGAGCGTAAAACAAAATAAAGATTATTTACTCTTCGTCAGAAATAACAAGATTTATTTTTTAGCGGTGCCATAGTTTAGAAATAAAATCGATCCAAAGAGCAGATTATTAAACTGCGATGAGTTCGAAGTTGATTTGAATTAAAATTTGTTTTGCCGCCGACGCCGCTTCATTCATTATTCTGTTTACTTATTCGTTCTCTAGGCCAACAAAATAAAGTCACCATCATGTTTGCTTACAGTAGAGAAAGCGCGAGCGCGCCAGAGAGTTGAGATATAATTTATGACGCGTAATATAAACTTTGGTCTGGCGCACAATGAGCTCAGAACTTAAGACCCGGGAGTTGAACAACTTGAAAGTTTGTTGCGTTCGCGCGTCTAAGTGGTTTACAGTTTCGATCGTATTAAGTATGAGTTTAAGTCCTTATATACAGCGTGCCAAAAGTAGTGAGTTTTATTGGACAGTATCGCGTGTAGTTGCAAGCTTTTAAATGATCATTTCGCCTCGATTGAATTAATCCCGCAGCGATGTAAGCAAACCTCAAAGTAAGCCTTTACAAAAGCCTACTTTTCCCGCTTACCTTTGACGAAACACGGCGAGTCCGATTCTTACGCACAGCTCCGCAAATCGTTTGTCGAATATTTCGCCGGAAAATCCAATCTTAGCGGCGCCGGGGCTTTTCCGCAGAGAGGAAAACTGACGCCCCGTCGCAACGGCCTGAAAATGAGACCGGCGAAGAACTGAATTGTCCCTCGCTTCGCTACCATTCATGCTTCGCAAGTAAAGGAAGCTGAGCTACATGGCGGACTGTTTTGACAAAGGCACATTTCTCCGCGTTTGTTTATTTATTTGCAGCGCTCCGCGTATACCTGCGTGCTGTACACATAAATTTTAATGGAAATAATGACGCGACGTCTGTTTCTGAGCCATACTAGCTTGGCCCCGAGTCTATGTGCGTGTCTGTGTGTACGTGTCGACGTCTTGAGTAGATTAAATTACCAGCGAGCCAAGCTTGTTAATGAGGTTGCCTCTTGTTGTTGCTCCGACGAGATGTTTCGTTATTTCGTTTGTCGTGCGCCTTTCAACGACTCTGTTTTATATGTATATATTTTATGCACCTCTCGGGGCTTCGCCGTCGCATGTAGCGCAGCGGTGCACGCGAGGGAGGATCACCGAATTGTCGTACTTTCTTCCAACGACGTTACTTGTTCTTGCTTTTGAAGCTTGATTTAGCAAGAACAAAAGTTAGCCTCATTTCGGAGAGTGATTTGGATCTACGGGATTAATCATTGCTCAATTTTTCCGATGCATCGGGAGCCCGGATGAATAGTACATATTATGGGGCTAGTCACGTGTAATCTCTTATCGCGCATTCGGCCGTGCACTTGGAGAGAATAATACGTGGTATCGATTTATTTTTTCCTCGTCGATTCTACGATAAAAAAAATGTAAAAAACAGGCGTTTTCGGAAATAATTAACTTTCGAAACTTACTTTCTTTTCTTTTTTAGCTAAAAAAAACTTTTTGAAAATCCTTTTCCTGGAGTTAAAAATTAAGCGTTTTAGGCTGTCGAAGTTGGTGGCACGCGTTACAGGAGATTACGCCCCATATATCTGTGTAGAAACATAAATACGTACGGGCGCACACGTTCAGCCATATGTGGTGGAACTATTGGAAAAATTACCCGCAATATATATCGATAGTAAGCTGGGGGAGGCCAGCAGGCAATATAGCGTTTTCCGAGCTAATGTAAAGTATACATAATCAGTGCAACTGCTGCGATTCCCTCTCGATACGTACACGCTCTTTCCTTCCTTTTTCCTCCCCCGTTATACGCTCACACACACATACACACATGTATGTACGTATGCCACGCGTGTACACGGATTCGCCAAGCTAGCTTATACGCGCACACGATGCTCTTGTCTCATAAACTTACCTAATAAATTCGCGAAATTCAGCGAGCGCGCGATTCGCGAGGCCAATTTCCGAGAGTGCATCTACTCGAACGCTATGCGCTTCTTGATTTCTCTGGCAAGAGACAGAGACAAATTTTTATACCTCTTTTTACTGGATAAGACTATCGCTCTTGCTGTTAAAAGCCCTCTCGTATGTTTGTTTGTTTGTTTTTATCTAAAAAAATATTTAAAAAAAAGATTGTAATATCTTCATAAAAATAAGTGTATATTAAATATCGAGCGTGCAGAGGAGCATGCGATCACTCGATGTTCGTAAGTTCAAAATTTTAGATTAAACTTGAGTAATACTTAAAAGAATAAGGTGTTTTTATTTTCCAATGTATTTATAACCATAAATGTAGGAATATATGGATGATTATTATGGAAAAATTTGAAAAAACAGAGGTGATTGTTGCAAACCAGCTTACTTTTTGTAAATAAAATAAAAAAAGTGAATAAAGTGTAAGAGTTGAGAAATAGATGAATAATTATCATAATGTAAAAATTCATATTTTTTTAAGAAAAATAAACTCGTGTTTTCAGGTCTCTAATTCCACCTTCAAATTCGTCGAACACTTTCTGCAAAAAATTTTGTGAGGTAAACGTACGTAGCTTGTCGCCTACACGAAAGCTCGCGAAATCTACGAAAAGCAAGTCTCGTTTAATGCAAGTCAAGAATTATAATCCACTGAAAGATGAAATAAAAAAATCAAATATTTTCATTGATTAGTTACCACACATAAGTATGTTTCAATACTCTTTACATTAAAATTTCGCCAAAAATGTAGCGTCTCTGTTTAAATTCACATCTAGTTCGTCTGTAGTATTGGTCTACTTACCAACACTATTTTTGATGAGTAATAAGCGTTAGATACAAGCATAAAATTGACATTATCGAGGTCAATCAGTCGGGACAAGACATGGCAGCGAGACGTGGTCGCATGAAAAAAATGAGTCTCTCGGTGTGCGAGGCTGTATCGAGCTCGCCACGCGTAGGTACCTATCTGGCTGGAGGCATCTCCTTGCAACTGCTGCTGCTGCTGCTGCTACTGCTACCGCATGCGTATGGCGTCAATGGCCCTTGGCACGTCGAAGCGATAACTGGCCGGCCGTTGTAGTTGGGGCGCGCTTCCGTCTCTTGTCTCCGAATGCATACGCGCCTATTATACGTGCAACACGCGTCACGAACGATAATTGCACATTATGCGGCCGTCCGATGACGAGGCCTGATGGTAACACATACACGCGCCTACGCGTATATACTTGTGCGCCTATATACATGCCCTCTGCGTCCGTCGACTGATTTTCTCTCCTGCAGGCATACCCGCTATGCCTTGGGATTTATGAAGCTTCCGAGCATCGGCCCAATGTTGCGCACATACGGAATATTATGTGTGCCAGAGCTTGTTATTCCACAGATCGCACACTTCTAATTCACGCCGGCCAGATCTGCTCTATATGAATTATATCGATGCGCAGTAATACGACTTAAACAGTTATCCGCCCCTTCTCCGATTTGGCGACTGTAAAAATCCAAGATGTTTCGCAGTAAAGAACCCTCCGTTGTTTGTAAATCGTTAATTTTTCTCAATTATAAAAGAGTGCGTAAATCGATGAGATTGTACAAGTACAAAGGCATCTACCGGTGTAAAAACATCCCTAAAGCTTTTTAGGAGACACGGGCAAGACTAGGGGTCAGAAAGGGCTAGCTTTAATCGGCCTAGCTTTAGTTTTTGCGTATACATACATTAAGTGTATAGGTATAGTCCAAGGCACCGACGAGATTTGCGTAGGGCTCGTTTGGCCCTCATTTTCTCACTCGGTAATTAGAAAGCTCGCGCCGTGCACACCGTACAATGTATACATAGGGTGTGCGCAGCTTTTTAAACGCTTTCAGTCTGACTTTTTTTGTCGAAGCGAGCCAAGTTATTCAAGGTAAGATACAGGCTTGCGAGTCGAGCTAAAAGCGCGGCCCACTCGCCTAAATTTCGTCCTCGAGTCGACTCGAGAGAGGGAGAATCGAATGCGGCAAACAGTCAATTAGCTATTCCTTTTTTCGTCGTCCAGGCGCAAATCAGGGCGCAATATCTATTCGTAATCCTTATACGCACGTGTTTGTAAATATATATCTCCCCACGGGCTCTGCAACTAATGGTCAAATTTGTAGACGACCTCGTGCGCGCGTAGCTGTGGTT